AATCTTATTTGTGTGCTCGGCTTATCGCACGCCCTGTCCTGCCCCTTTGTTTTTTATATTTTAGTTTATAGTGTTTCCATTTCCACCCCGCGCAATTGCAACAAAAATGGCAGCCGAGTGGGCGGCGGTGGGTGGTGGGTGGCGAAAGGAAGTGCACTGCGAGTGCAACGCAAAAGTTTCGAAGGCAACTTGGAAATGGAGCACGAATGACGCTTTGGCCCATTTGTTGGTATTTATTTCAATAGTTCTTGAGATACCCTATGTTTAGAGGGGAAGCCAAAGGAAACGTTCGCTATGCAATGGGGTTTTAAATTGAGTTATAAATTAAGAGTGGAAATTAAAAGAATATAGCACGTATAACATCTTGAAACTATTTATTTGAAAGATAATCAAAGTAGTAAATGCAAAAGTAAAAGCAGAAGTCCGGCTGTATAATTCAGAGAATTGAATCCTCCGGGCGAGGAAGTTCTCCCTGCGACTCGTGATATTTCCTAACGCCATTACGCGCCTTCAGCGATTCCTTCAACGTCGGTCCACTAATGCGTCCCCATCCGATATAAAAGCAGTCCTCTGAAGGCGACTTTATGCTCGGGACGCACCTTTAGCACTTTGTTTTGTCCCGCTGGCTGGCTGACTGTTGTCCTGGCGTTCTGGAGTCCCGGAGTTCTGGTGCCGTGGTGACTGTTTACTCAGTTTACTCAGTGGCTCGCATAAGTTTCAGTTTGAGGCAAATACTCGAATTTATCGCCGTGGCGCCACGCGAGTGTGAAGTTTCTGCTAATTCGGGAGATAAAGGCGGTGATAAGGATAAATAGGTGAGAGCCCCGTTGATTGCCTGCGAGTGGGAATGTGGCAGTGAGTGTTGCACTCACTTTGCTCGGGCAAAGTTTCCGCGAAAGTTTGCATTTTAGTAGCAAGTTATGGAATTTTTATACTCGAGGTGGGAGTGCGAAAGCGGGAGTGGGCGAGTGTGCCGAAATTGTATTTAAAATGCTTTCTATATACATATTTGTGTATGCAGAGCACTTAAGTAGTTGGCATCTGGCACACCGCGCCCTAAAAGAAAAAAAACAGAGGAGAGGATATAATGTAGGCAGGTAACTTTTGCTCCAAGCTGATTAAAGGACGCAAAGTTTTTCATTTCGCCCGAGATTCTTCGAGCGTTTAATTACCTCAATTTCCTGCGCAATCTACCAATGAATGGAAACGTTGGATAGGGGAAAACGTTGACGTGGTGCTGGTGGAACAGTTTATCGTGTTGTCGTGCCACTTGAATCGAATGGGAATGGGTTTCCAATTGAACGTTGCTCATACGCCATGTTGATCCTGTTGACATTGTTGTTTCCATTTTCTTGTTCATATGCGGGCCAGCGCACGCCCACACTCGCTCCGGAATATAATTGTTGCCAAGTTGTCATTTTCAACATTGTCATTGTGCCGCCCTTTCCCTTCTTACCCCTTTTTCCCCATTTCCCTGCATTTCCCCGCGCCGATGTCCTTTGTCGTTATCCTGCGTTTGTGATTTTTCTTGCTGCATACTTTGGTGCGCACGCAGTAAATATTGTTCCTGGCTGATTGTTGTTTCTGCCGGAGTCCTGCTCTGGAATTTTTGCCCTCCCCCCTCCGAAACGTGTTCGCCATGATAAAACGGGCTTTTCAATTTCCATTCCGCCTGGCCACTGCATATGATTAAGAGCTGAACGGGTTAACCTATGCTGTGTTAGCCCAATTTATGCGAATAAATCAGAGCAACGATAATAACACCAAACACAGAGATTTGCGATGCATTCTCGTATGTGCGAGCGTTAGATATATTTTTAAAATAATTTAATTAATTTAGTTATTGGGAAAATGCATCTAACCATTATGGATATTTTAGAACGAAATACCTCCACCAACTCAGCGATGGCTCTATTTTCCCCACACACTCGCTCATTGGCGCATTATCACCGTCATAGCTCACCTTGACTTGGTTTTCCGACTTCGGGTTCAGCCGGGCCAAAAACTTTCCTTGTTTTCCCCGCTCGCCGCTTCGCCAAACAGAAGTGACTTTGAAAAGTGCTGGAAAGTCTAGTCCAGCGCTTCCTTATCCAAACGAAGAGTGAAAAGCCAAGAGCTATTAATAAACGGGAACGAGAACGCTGGCTGTAAAACTCACGAATGACTAAACATAAATTGTGTTAAATTTATCACAACAATGGAAGGCTGACCGAGTCAGACACATGACGTCATTGTGGGCCAGGGCCAAAGGCGCATGGAGCACATGGAGCACATGGAAAACTCACTCGGAGAGCGGACGCTTTTCGCTTTTCCACAGACGAAGGGAAACGAAGCGAGTGAAAGGCCGCTCTTGAGTGAGTTGCATCCGCTCTCGCTTTGTTTGTGGGGCAAGGCTTTCGGCTTTCGGATTGCGATTGCGGTTTCCTCCTCCAGCCGTTGTTATTTAAATTAATTAAAAATGTATGACGAAACAATGAGCGGACTGACCTTGCTCGCGGCGTTCTGTGCAAGCGTTCTTTTTCCTCTTCTGAATTTCCATGTGCTCTCCTAATCAACTTGTGCTCCAATAAGTAGGCAGTGAAAGTGTTGAAGCACACACACACACACTTACCCTTTGTGGCTTTTCCGGCTTTCCGCCTTTGTTTGCTCCGGACAAACGGAAAATTCCAAGCGTCGCATAATTGCATTTGTATTACGCTTTTTCTTTTTGCCCAACGCACAGTGGTCAAAAAATGCAGCCTTGCTGGCATAAATTTAATTCTTGATTAAAACGTTTACTTCAGTAATACAAAGGATTAAATGTTTCTCTGTTTAATAAAAATTAAAGATAAGGAGAGTAACTTTTTGACCCACTGTTGAACGGTTGCAATTTCCCCGCGGATGTGTTTTTTAAATATCGTTAAAGCCCTGGTTTTTTTCGCTTGTAATTATTTCCCAGCTGCCGCCGCCGACGACAAAACTTTGTCATCGTTGTTTCGCGCGTCACACGCGGCGTATGCGTAATATTTTGTTATGCATGCAACTGCGTTCGCTTTAGGCAGCCTGCAGGTTGCAGGTTGCAAGTTGAGGAGGAGGTGGAGGTGGGGATTGTCCCACATTCCCAGCAATTAAAAACGGCGGCAGGGTGTTATTTTTATTTTAATTATAAAGCCATAACTTTATGCTAATTCCTTCGGTTTTGCCAGCTGCCAGGATCATCGGGCAGCAGAGGTAACCCGTAACTAAATCCGCATGCTTTTCAATTCAATTCCACCCGTAAGCCGCTTAGTTACTCCCTGGAAAAAGTTTTCCCCTTCTGTTTTCGTTTGTTGTTTGTGCGATTCAAATTGTTTTTGTCGACTGTTAGTTTGGTTTGAGTGGTCACGAAATAGGGAAATATAGAGATTTCCACCGAAAATCGCCTGCTAATTGTTTTATTGCGCTTTATTGGATTGCATTGGGGTTATCGAAATGCCCGGATTGTTTTTCTATGGACCCATGGAAACGGACGGTCGTCACTCGTTCAGTTTTAGGCCAATTGCAATATGTTTTTGAAAGCCAGCTAATTATAGTCTGCTGGGCTGCGTGTGAAAATGCCAATTGCAATTACATAAATGCACTGGAACTCTGCTGAAAAACTCATTTAAATGCATGGCACACAGATGCACCACCTGCGGGGAAAACGGGGAGTGGAGTGGAAAGCGGGAAAGTGGCCACTTTGGGCTCCTGTTTGGGCGACTGTTTGTTGTTGCCTCACTGTCTGCCACTTGGCTCTCATTACCAACAACATAATCAACCACTTGCAACAACTAAGGCTTTGTGTGTTAGCAGCCATGATTAGCTGTGTTTCTAATGCACTGCAAATTCATTTATGCAATATAATAACATATTATAGAAAGAAGAGCTTCCTTTGATGTACGAATCTCTGATTTAGTTAGTAATTATTAGCATGCAGTTTGATATATTTTTCCAGCTTAAATAACCTGAATGGTTTTATCAACTTCAGTGGCTTTCTCCGAGTGTAGACTACTCGTCCTCGTTGTCGTTGTCGTTGCCGTTGTCGCTGGCAATTGTTGGCAGTAATTAACAAACACTGCGATAGGGCGATACCCACCTTACACGTGACGTCACGCACAAGTGAGAGTGACAAACACTTAAACGTTAAATGCACCCAGCTAACTGGCAACTGTCTGCCCGTTCTGTTCTGTATATGTAGTTCTGATATATTCTGCGATAGCTGCTCTGCCAGCCTGCGATTCGTTGGCCACTTCAGGTGCCATTGCGTGTGCAACACGGCGTATGCGACATAACTTTTCCCCCGATTTCCCAGCCAGCTCATCTCTGCTCTGGCTTCCAGCTCCGAGCTCCGAGCTCCGAGCTACGTGCTCGTGTAAGCGTGCATGTTTAATTTGGCATTGCGTACTTTGCGGCGCTGGCTGCATTTCACGTTCGCGAGTTTACGCTACTTTATTATCATGTGCAATTAAAGGTCGGGTTGTCGGGCAACCAATTCGGATTCGGATTCGGATTCGGGGGACGTCTCACCTAGTGGGATATCTCGACCAGGAGCTGCGGTGCAATCGATGGTAGCTCCTGGCAAGCCTGCAGTTCCGAAACTCGGGCGGGAATTAAATCCGATTCGGGGTGACAGGTGAAGAGCGCAATCGGAAGCCAGAGTAAAACCACTGGATGGTGTAAATTAAAACTGCATTACGTTTTAATTGCGCACTCCTGTCGACTGCTCTGCTCTGCTCTCCACTTAATTACTGTTATTATGTGCACTTTAATTTTATTTACATGCCGCATAAATCTTTAAGCGACGCACGTATCGCACACCCATATTATTTGTATTTATTTTTATTATTTAAATGATTTGCATGCTCTATAAATATTTCATCATTTTGCGTTTCTCACGTTGTTTACTTTCATTTACGTATCGTAATTGCCTGTTCTGTTGCTTCTGTGCTTGTGTCCTGTCCCGTATCCGCATCTGCATCCGCATCCGCATCCTGTCTGCGTAGCATTTTGGAAAACAAAATCAGGTTGGTCCTGTTTCCAGCATAAATCTCCCCATTTTTGCACGACGGTAGAAGTGAGTTTCGAGTGACTAAGCCTTCCCCATTGTGGTTTCCATCCCCAACAGACAACAGTCGCTGCTGTCGGACGAACAGGCCAAGGAAGTCGAGCAGATACTCAACGCCGCCCCCAGCGTGGGCGTGGCAGTTGCTGCCGTTGTTGCCACAGCAACATCGCCGACCAGCATCAAGAATCTCATCGAGGATTTGCCCGGACAGTCGTCGGCATCCAACGGATCCAACGGAGCGAGAGAGCAGGACATTCAAATCGCGGCCGTTCCCGCGATTGTCGAGGAGGAGGAGGACGAGGACGCGGAGGAGCAGGACTTCCAGGAGGACGAGGAGGACGACCACGCCAGGGCGGAGTTCGAACCCAACGGCGGCGAGGCTGACGGCGATTCGGACGACGTCGAGGCCGTGGACATCGTGGGCTTCGGCCACGCCTCCAGCGCCCTAAGTGCCACCTTCGTGAAGGCGGACAGCACCGAGACAGAGACCACCACCACCACCCCCTCGACGGCCACCACAGCCACCACCCGCCACGACGACGACGAGCCCGAGTGGCTAAGGGATGTCCTTGAGGTGCGATCTCTCTCTTCCTTGCGATCTCTCCCTAAGATCAGTTCTTGAATAACTGATCTAAAATGGAGAGATTAACTTACCTATTCTTTAATGGGAATGAAGTACTAACAACTTGTTTTCCTTACAGGCTCCCAAGCGCAGTCTAGAGAACCTCTTGATCACCTCCGCGACTTCGGGAAGCAGGGGAGGAGCCGGAGGTCAGCGGGAGGAGCTGGAGAACGGCTACGACCTGCAGGAGAAGCATTCCGATCTCAACCAGACCTACGTGACCGGCGGGGAGTCGCTGCACGAGTCGATCGTGTCCGTGGAGTCGACGCAGTCGGACGCCACCCTCAACCAGACGACGACCATCGATGACAGCATCATCTCGAGCAAGCACAACTCCACCTACTCACTCGCGGACGCGGAACAGGCCACCAACTCGACGGTTCTGAGCACCGGGGTCACCGAGCTAGACGACAGCCAGTACTACATCCCGGAGTACCCGCCCGTGCGGAGCAAGGAGGTGCTCGTGGAGGCGGGAGTGCACTACTTCGAGGATGGCAACTTCTGGATGGAAGTGCCTGGTAAGCTCTGGAGATTCATTATGAATGCAACTCATTACTTATTATCATTACTTAAAGGTCTGCTAGACTTCGACGACGACGACTGCTCCTATCCGCCGATCACTGTGCGCAAGAACCCCAAGGTGCGCTTCAGCTCCGGACCCATCCACGTGTACTCCACCTTCTCCGTGAACGACTACGACCGACGGAACGAGGATGTCGACCCCGTGGCCGCCTCGGCGGAGTACGAGCTCGAGAAGCGCGTGGAGAAGATGCACGTCTTCCCCGTGGAACTGATGAAGGGTCCTGAGGGTCTGGGTCTCAGCATCATTGGCATGGGCGTTGGCGCCGACGCCGGACTGGAGAAGCTAGGAATCTTTGTGAAGACCATAACCGACAACGGAGCAGCAGCCCGCGACGGGCGCATTCAGGTGGGTTATCCAAGTGGATAGCTATCCTTAATGTAACTACAGTGGTTACCACTCGCATATATTTTGTTAGGTAAACGATCAAATCATCGAGGTGGACGGCAAGAGTTTGGTGGGCGTCACCCAGGCGTACGCAGCCTCAGTTCTGCGCAACACTTCCGGTCTAGTCAAATTCCAAATCGGACGCGAGCGCGATCCCGAGAACTCGGAGGTGGCCCAGCTCATCCGGCTGAGCCTGCAGGCGGATCGCGAGAAGGAGGAGCGCTTGAAGCGGTTAGTTGGAATACCAATCTGTATGGCCAATGAATACTAATCGGTGCGAAGCTATTTCAGCCAACAAGAGGAGTACCTGCGACGCACCCTCGACTACTCGGAGGACTCCACGCAGCCGGTGTCGGCGAATTCGAGTGTCTGCGAGGGACCCTCCAGTCCCGTCCAGGTGGAGCACCCCATGGAGGTGGAGGCGACGCACTCGCAGGAGGTAGAGTCGCTCAAGCGGCTGCTACAGGAGGTAAGCTCTCCAGCTCGCCAGGATCGCCCTGCCCGGAAGAATCTCTCTTGCAGAACTGACTCGTGCTTAACTCTCGTGTTTTTTTCGTGTGTTCTCTTCTCTCTCCTTTTGCTGAATTTCAAAATTGTGTGGATATTGAAATGCAGCACAAAGCGGTAATTGGATTTGAAAATACCATTGAAGTCGAAATTTCTAGATACTTGAAAAATTGTAGAGCACATTCTCGAAACACTTTACCCATTAAACTTATTTAATTGTATAGAATTTAATTGTATTTTAGTGTTTATGTTCTTTGATTTTTGTATTATTTTTATTAATTTATTTCATTATTATTTGTTGCTTTTGTTTTCCCCAGAGCGAAATGGGTTGCCTGGTGAAGGAGGAGATTATCCAGAACCTGAAGCGAAAGGTTTGTGTTCTGATTTGGTTGATTGCTTATTGTTTCCCCCACATCATCTCATCCCATCCATCGACTGCACCTCCTATCCAGTCAAACCACTGAGCATACTAATGAATTGTTTCCTTCCCAGCTGGTGAAGCTCGAGACGACGGGCAATGAGAACGAGCTGCTCAGCGAGCGGCTGCGGCAGAGCGAGCGGGAGCTGGGCAACATCCGCAAGGAGGCGGCCAACCTGCAGAACATGCTGCAGCAGTCGCAGGGCCAGTACATGGCGCTGGACAAGAAGTACAACAAGGCCAAGCGGCTGGTCAGGGAGTACCAGCAGAGGGAGCTGGACATGTGCCACCGCGAGGAGTTCTACCAGCAGCTGCTCCAGGAGAAGGACACCGAGTACAACGCGCTGGTGAAGAAGCTCAAGGACCGCGTGATCAACCTGGAGCACGAGCTGCAGGAGACGCAGCGCAAGGCGGGCTTCCCCGTGGGCCTGCCCTACGACAGCGCCACCTTGAAGCTCACTCCGCAGATGATGCGCAAGACGCCGCCGAAGCCGCTCTTCCACAAGCTGGAGACGGAGCTCTCGGACACGGAGATCTCGGACCTCTCCCCCGACGGCGACGGCGTGAAGACGGCCACCGTGGAGCGCAAGGTGCCGGTGAAGGACGAGCTGGACGCGGCTGTGCCGCAGCACGAGCTGCTGGATAACTCGGTGAACAAGACGAAGATCGATCTGGGTGAGTCCCACTATATGACATTATCTTACTTGAGCACCTTTTGCCTCATTCACTGCGAGATTGTCATGGTTCCATGCGTCATGTTTATCTCCAAACAGGATGGTTATAACCCAATACTATATCCATCTGTTTGGAAATCATTCTCCATCACTATGACAGTCTTTCTTTCGATACGAGAGTTTTGTTCTTGAGCTGCACCTGGGCTAAAGCTTCCTCCAGTCACCAATGCTCCTGATCCTGATCCCGAGTTCCCTTGCTACTTTGCCACTTTCTTTATCCTTGTGTGCTAATTGTTACTCTCTTTCTTTCCATTTCTCCGTTTTGTTCTGATTTGCTCTCTGTGTCTGCCGTCTGTTCTCGTTTTCGATCTCGTTATCGTTATCGTTATCGTTAAACCGTTAAACCGCATTCAATCGTTCATGTGTTTGTATTACGTTCTTGTGCTCGTTGTGTTCGTTTGACTGCCACGCCTACACGCTGCGCCCTCATTTTGCCCAACTACAAAACCACCAAACAATCTGAATCTCTATCTGAATCTCAATCTGAATCAAATCAAAATCAATTTGCCAACACGCAAATCAAACAAACTCGCATTCGCACCCTGCCAAATCAAATCGCATTCGGTTCTAAAACAAAAGCCTCCCGCGGCGGTTTAGCCAACCGCCAGTTGCCCTCAGCGAACGGGAACAGCAGCAGCGGCGCCTCAAATGGAGCGACCCCCTGCGATCCCGGCCAGCTCTCCAACGGGAACCTGCTCAAGCGGAGTAGGAGCAACAGCCGCAGCTCGGACTGCACCCTGGACGACACCGACGAGGAGGAGGAGGAGCGCGAGGGATCCGCCCTGAACCTGGCCTCGAACCCCGTCGCCCACGAGGCCATCAGCCTGTCCAACGGCAACTCGCACCTGCTGGCGAACGTGAACAACCTGCTGCAGCACCACCCGCCGGTCATGGCGGCCATCTCCAGCCCCCTGGGGGCGACGCCCTCGAACGGCCACCTGGGCACCACCACGGCCATCCTGCTGAACTCCACCTCCTCCGCCTCGTCCAGCTCCTCCAACCAGTCGACGGCGCGCGAGGCGCAGATCAACCAGCTGTACGCGCAGGTGCACAAGGATCCCAGCAAGCAGCAGCACCAGCTGCAGCAGCAGCACCAGCAGCAGCAGGCGGCACAGGCAGTGACCACCAGCATTCCCGGGATGTTCAAGGGGTCACTGGGCTCCCCGGCGGACAACGGGCTGAACGACTTCCACCGCGGCAGCATGACCACCTTCGGAACGGGTCCCGCGAGCAGCAGCAACCGCGACTTGAACAGCTCGTACGACTCCATCCTCGGCTCCAACGACAAGCTCTCCGAGAACGAGCCCGCCGAGAGCTGGATGTACCCCAGCCGGCGGAGGGTGGCGCCCAACGGCAGCAAGCTTCCGCTCCCCGGATCCAGCTTCACGGACCAGCTCAACCAGGCGCTGTCCGACCGCGAGAGGTGGGTTTCCAAGTGGAAGGGTTTTAGGGGAAAAGGAGGTACTCATGACACACGCGTGACATAATTCATCAGGCTGTAGAGAGTGTCTACTTGTATTACCTTTCAAGAGTCGCTTCATAAATTATTACACTAATTAGTGATTAGAGTCGGATTTCAAAAGATCTTAAAATAGAGGAGAGATTTTACTACAGCAATAAATTATTTCCTTTCCTAGTAAATATTAGATTAATTGCTAAAAATCATAAATTTGTTGCTTAAGATCATTAATTTTAACAGATTTTACTACGGCATAAAAGGTAATTTAAATTCAGGGAGAGGTATGGAGTTACAGTCAAATAAAAAAATAGAATTTTCGTTTCCAAGGGATCTGAAAGATAGATTTTGTAAGGATTGATATACTCAAGACTCAAGAAACGAAAGATATTTATCCAGCATTTATGATGGTATATAATTGAAAGATATTTAAACCAGAAAACACACACCCAACCACACACTTTTTCGCACTCTGTTATACGGTTGCTCGACCTTTGCAGGCGACTCGGCGATGGATCCTCGCGACATTCCAGCGACGATTACACTGAGATCAACAAGAGCCAGAGCGCGGCGGCCATCAACTGCAAGACGCTGATCAACGAAATCCGCCAGGCGGTGAACGAAGCGCAGCCCAAAGGTGAACTATGCCCCACCAACCAAAACCCAGAAACCAAAAACGAATCCAACCAACAAGCACAATCCTCCGAATCGAATCTCTAGCAAGACCGTAGACTAACCCGTAGATCAATCGATCAATCAATCAACCGCACCATCACCTCATTCCATACAGATCTGTACATACGTTTACTGTTCAAAGATAATCGAACCTGTTATTCAGTTATAACCATATATGATATCTATTATGCGAAGGTTTTGAGCGTTCATTGCAGCTATCCGTTTCCGTTTCCGTTTATCCGTTTACATTACTCGCATCTCCCACATGAATATCTCTGTATGATATCTTATCAATGTCTAACTAACCCATTCAACCGATTCCACCTGCCGCGGAGTCCACTGCGATCTTACTAACCAGGCTCTTCTGTCTTCCCTCTGCTCTCTGCTCTGTCTCTCTCGCGACTAACTCCCACTGAATTCGATCCGAAGTTAAACAAGTCGTTCCACAATCACTCTCCCCGCCCGGCACAGTTCCGTGGCAGCAGCAGCACCACCCGCAGGTCCAGCAGCAGCCCTCCGCCCACACCACCGGCCCCCCGTCGCCCACCAGCATGTCCTCGGGCTGCTCCTCGCCGGGGTACTCGCCCAGCCGCACCCTCGACCTCTCCGGCTCGAGCTCGAGCTTCTCCGACCGCAAGGCGGTGGCCGCCGGCTACACCTACAAGGGCGGACCCGTCCACGAGTGGACCAAGGATCAGGTGGGTGCAACCCAGAAGGAGTGAAACAGTAGCTGAGATGTCCTCAGATATTTCTGATACTGAATTCTGATTCTTCCAACTGCAAACGCATACTAAAAGCAATCAAATCCAATCCGAAACAGGTGGGCCACTGGCTGATGGGCATCGAGCTGGAGCGCTACATCCCCGTGTTCAAGGAGCACAACGTGGAGGGCGGCGCTCTGCTCACCCTGGACTCGAAGGACTTCAAGACGCTGGGCGTGGGCGGCGACGACAAGCACCGGCTGAAGAAGCGGCTGAAGGACCTCAAGGCGAACATCGAGAAGGAGCGCAAGGACATGGAGCGGGAGCGCCGCGAGCGGGAGAAGGCCATTCGCAAGGCCGAGAAGAAGGCGGCCAAAAAGAAGTAGTTAAATTCTATCTGATGTCTGATAGCTGATAGCTGATAAGCGTCAAAGTAGCCAAAAACCAAAAGCATACGCAGTATATATTGTAGTCTATATATTATATGCATACACAACACACTACACACACGAGGAAGGAGGGGAGCACACACGAGCGTATATAAAACATATATCTAATTACGGTTATATATAATATTACGTGCATGTAATGGCAACATATTTATTTGTACAACTCACATCTATTATACATACGTACTACATTTTAACCTATCGAACCTAATGGCAACTAGACGTAATTATTCTAAACGAGGAGGAGCAGTCAGGAGCGGCAGGCAGGCAGGCAGGAGTAGCAGTAGATCTCGGCTAGAGTTGACCCCGGAACCCAGACGCAAACAGGGCCCAAATCATCCAACCGACGGCACTCAACCACTGAGCCTTCCCCTTCGACTAAAACTCACAACCGAACTCACAACCAAAAGAAGAAGCTAAGCAACTAACAAAAGGCGTTGGACTGACTGATTTTTATGATTAATTTAAAGAGAAAACAAAAGAAAGATCTACGAAGGGATTCTTTTTTAAAGCCAACAAAACCAAAAACATAAACAACCACTTGAATTGAGAATTGAGCAGACGGAAGTAGAACACTTAAGGAATTCGCTGATTCGCAGATTTGATCGGTTCGAGATCCAATTGAATTGCAATTGAAATACAGAACATAAGAGCATAAGATATCGTTTAAGTTGATCCGAGAGGGCACCCGAGGAGTGCCTCGTTTTTTTCTAATTAACTAATTAATCTGTGTAATTACTGACTAGCGCATATTCAATAATATTCAATTCTAGATATATATGTGTGTGCAACATTGTATTTGTCAAGACATCTATGCATCTATGTACTATCCCCTAAAATTAACGCTAAAGTATTGTACTGTTTACTGTATGCTATGCCTGAAGTCATTTAAGTACTTAAGTAGAGTGTTTTCTGTTACCGAGCGGGCTGCTCTGAAGGTTCCCGAAGGGGATATGGTTGGGATTGTATATCTATCTTCTACCGATCCCACGATGGCTACTTTTCGAGCAGTCTGCGCAGCCAAATCAATGCAAAATGTCCACCCAAATTTGTTAAGCAGCCAAAAAGCAAAAAGGAAGCAAGCTTCAAGAGCGATTTCTATTCGTTAGCTATTATGTGTGTGTGTGTGTGTGTGAATGGAGTGACTGGTTTTTGTTTAAACTTTGTTTTACTTTGTATAGATATTTATAGAACTCTAGTATTGGTATTTCGTATTCTTAGTTGTTTGTATTTAGTTCGTGTACTTGTGTTGTGTACGTAGTTTTATTTACCCTATGATTTCGAAACGTTGCAATAAATCCGCATGCATATGCCGGTGTATGTACGATAAACCAAGGCTTCTTCCTATTGGATATTGGATTACATATCTGATATTGATTCACTCCCCATGGACTGGCAGCCCCAGCCGATGGCCACAGCAATCCAACCGACTTTGATTATCGAGAAAAACCAAATTTAGCATCTAGTCCTTGGTTGATTACCAATTAGCATATAATACTTATCGACATACGTATATACGAATACTCTCTTCTCTCTATCACTCTGTCTCTATTTGACTTTAAGACCCCGGCCGTGGCCAAGTGGACCCCCTCCGGATTCCTACCCGAACCTAAATCGGATTCAGATTTCGATCAGGATTCGCATGCGGATTCGAAGGATCCTGTGGACCGACGGCCGGCAGCGCATAATCACCGCATGTGTCTCACTCGTCTCGTCGCAAGTCCTTAATATAGCTTTTGAAAAGCTCGCCTCTAAACAGTGCCACCAACGAATGGAAAACAAAATCAACCGTTATTACTTACGAAAACGATTAAGAAACACCTTAAAATCAGTAATCAGTAATCAGTAACCAGTAATTCAGGCGCCGCGCGCGAGCCCGCGACTTCCGCTCGATTTTCGGGTGCGACTAATTGGAAAACCGGATTCGGGATTCGAGATTCAGAATTTCAGATTCCAGATTTAAAATTCCGAATTCGCATCGCACGCGTGCCGCGTCTCAAGATAAATGTTATTTTTTTGAACGTGTATTCAGTTAGGATTTATTTTTGGGCAATTGTTTGTAAGCGTTTTTTACACCGTATTTAACCAATTGAAAAACAAAAAAATTGAAGATTACAATCAAGCCAAAACCAGTTTAAAATTCGTAAACTAAATCAAATTAAACGATAAAGTAATTTAGCTGCTGCCCCGAAATTCTCAAAGAGTAGGGGCCAGCGGTCGAATAACACACACAAACGAAATGTAAGACACCTACAGAACACATTCGTGCCTTTTTCATTGCGAAAAACCGTCCCAACCAGAAAAGCTGAGCAGAGGACTCGAACCCAACCATCCTTTAGGGCTCCCAGGATCCTAGGATCCCACCAACTTCCGAGGTCCTGGAGCCGCGGTCCTCTGTCACGAATACGTTGAAACATTTAAAGTCCCGCGAATGCCTTAATCGAGAAATTATATTACCCATTAGATATTCAGCATTGTTCAGTTCGCTTGTAGGTTTTGAAGCATTTTCGACATAACCACTTGGTTCTCCGTTCGCAAGCAAAGTTGGCTGAGTTCTGTGGCCTCGAAATAAAGGGGTGTGAGTCCATCTGGGAGTTTCGAAAAACAATATAATTTTTGAAGTATTCAGAAAACTCTTGTTTTGATTAGGTTTTTCCAGCTCACGTGAATTTCATTTGTTACTTTCATTTGTTCTCCTTATCAGTTAGTTTCCCTGCTTGTTTATTTCAAACTCTGATTTATTTCAAACCATGATTTGTGTGCATGGATCGCGTTGCCGTTTATTACCACTCTCCCATAAATGAATCGGAATTAGCTCACCCTTCCATCAAATTAAACCAAATCGGAATTGGCCGGCGCAAAAAGTAATGTAAAAGTTCATAGAAGAAACACTACACTTAGCAATTAACGCGACTAGCCAATTAATATTGATGACTACACTGCAATTAGCCGAGCAAGTAAATTGAAAGTCAAAGCAAACCAAATCTTACGAATCATGGAAAATAATACACCACGAAAGCAAAACAGTGCTAATAAATATACTCCGAAATAAACCTAAATACGAGTTCGGAATGCATTTCTTGTTTACCCGCCTGGCGATCTGTTATCTGTAATCCTGGATGAAAAACAACCTCATCGTAATGGGTTTGTTGTACCGCACCAACTCGGAAAACTGTTGCAAATCGGTCATAGGAGTAGAGACTCTTCTCGGAAAAAGGCCACCTAGCCAACTAAAATCCAACTCAGATCTTCCACGGAAACGTGAGTGGAACATTTTTCAGCACTCGTGGGGTTTTTCTTATCGTCTGGGAATTTTCCACTCGCCTCGGTGGCCTGCATCTTGTACAGAGGTCAGTTTTAATAGTCTTCCCAAACTAGAATGGCCTCACGTTTTTATTAGGGGTATTCTTTCCTATGTTACAATATATGAAGAGTATTTAATGATCGCCTTTATTGCCAGGCAATTTTAGTTCTCACACAATCTTGTTTTGATTAAATTTCTGCTGACGTCGCTTAGTGAAATTGAAAAATACTTTTCAGAGCACAGACCTTAGCAACGAAAATGATTGTGTTTCGTAAAGGTTCAAGTCGATTAGTTAGGCTAGTCTTGATTACAAAACTGTTATTGTATCATCTTGATTTTCAAAGCACTGTCATTTTTAAGAAAGTTGCTCTATTCCTTAGAATGCAATGGCTTTGGTCCTGTAATATGTAAACAATATTTTGATCAGATACTGCACATTTGCATTTGCGTAATGCCGTAAAGTTGTTTACCGATTTCAGGCATCATTGTCACTGTGGCTTAGCGCAATTATGTGTGCCCCCCATGGAGCGATAAGGAGCCTTACAAAGATGTTGCCCCCTATCAGTGGTGATGCTATTTCCACGTAGTATCTCATTGTTTTCAGTAAGGAGCTCCTTATTGGGTTAACTACTGTTTATATTTGCCAATTCGTATTCGTATCAGCAGACGAATGGGTTGCTGGGTGATTCAAGAGCCAATCCCCATTACAACAGACTCGTGTTGACTCTAAGGTGTCTGGCTGGAATCGCCTGACCTGGCGAAACTTTCCGACTAGCCGAGTGATAAGCTCAGTGTCTCAGTGTCAGAGGTCAGCGAGCGAATTATAGAAAATTCTCGGCAAGTGGCATGTTTTGAAAGTATTTAAAAATAACTGTGCTGATTATTTTGTTTGGCAGTGATTCCAATATTATGAGATAGGTTTTTCTTAGTTGAGATGGTTTGATTTAGCAGCAGAACTTGTCATTCACCAGAATTGATTCCACGAAGTCAGGTGTTTCTCCAACAGCTAAGAAACCGATATCAAAAAGGTCCATAAAAACTTATCAGCTGAAATTGCGGAATCATTTATGGTTCCCGCTAACATTCCTTATCGAATCTGTAACGAAGGGGTTGTTTTTCTTCTCGGCCACAAACACAAACAGTGTTTGAGATATTTAAACTCGCTCAATTCAATTAGCTAGGAGCAACGATTCCGGCAGCACAATATACGGCAGCCAAACGCAGAAGCGCTAAACGATTTTAAATTGAATGCTGAACAATCAGCGCCGGCAGAGGAGCGGCAGAACGCCGATCTGGATCTGGATCCCCGAGATTCCGAATCTTTTCCTGAAGCAGCGCCGTCGACTTCGGCGGGCCTCCAGTTTATAAGCGCTCGTCGGCAGGTCGCCGCCGTTCACTCAGCAATCGGCGCTCGAAGGAGATACACCACCACACTCAGTGCATATAGTACCATATAGCATATATCATATACCGTATACCGTATATAGCATACCGATATAGCAAACCAACGTTGGTGAAACGTAACGAGACTACAAAGGAGACTCCGGTTCCAGATTTCTAAATTAGTTTTGATTCGCGAAATAGAAAACGCCACCGCTGACTTTCGACGTAAAGCGATTGAAGCGCGAAAGTTGGATTTGCATAACCAGAAGAAGCGCGTCTGGCGGTTATATAATTGCAGTGTATTTTGACTGGACAGGAAATCCATCCGCACGATGACGGGATACAAGGTGGCTAATGGCAATGGCACCACCAACGGGAGCTCCAAGGGAACCAATGGCCACACCAATGGCAACGGACACAAGACGGCGGACTACACGGCCCAGGAGAATCCCACGTAAGTAGGGGAGTTACTACTGTACAAGTGGGGTAATTATGGGAGGTATTTATGGGAGGGCCTCACGCCAGGGGCTCGTTAACTACAACCAAGAGTAATTGAAACTTCCAATAGTGCTCGGCTTTCACCGCTTTATGGGTTATGGCTTCTATCCGCCCTGTTCCCTCCTCCTCTCTATTTCTATTACCACCTGTCTGCCCTTCGCTTGACGCTTCGTGACCCGCTTTCAAGGGGCCGAATCGATACGGCCTTGGCTGTCCAGTAGGCCCTGCCAGTAGCTTCACCCGACGCTCCGTTAGTCTCCCAGAAAACTCGCTCCGGCCTACAGGAAAGCCAAGTCCCGACACGACTCGCTCCGAATCCGCTGCCAGTGGCTCTGCTAAGGCCAAGACCTCTCGCCAACCCGCAGAATGTGCTCCCGCGACTGCTGCTCTGGACCAGGTGGCTCCCACAAGGGCAACACCTGCACGGACAAGAAGGGCGCCCGAGCTGGAAGTCTGAACGGCGAGAAGATTATTCCCACTCCGCAGAGTCTGCTGTAAGTTAAAGGGCACCCGAAGGGTTGAGATTACCAGACCCTGCCTTACTTGTCAGTCCGTTCGCTTGAATCCCCCAAAAAGTACACCCCTTGGCTTCGAAAATGTGTAACACCGACTGCTGCTCTAACCCGAGGGGCAAGGCTGGCGACAAGACCGCCATCAACCAACCCGGAAGGTGGGACCACATCGAACCCACTCCGGACAGCCTCCTGTAAGTTCGATTTGTTTTCCCATTTCAAATTCAAGAGGCGGTTGGACCTTGTCCTTGATCTTTCCGCCACTATCAAGAAGTGAGCTCGATCTGTTGGATCTGTTGAATTCTAATTAAGTCATTCCAGTATTCCGGGCTTATCAGTTTTCGGCAAGTCATTAAAGTCCCATTCGAAACATCTCTAATCTGCATACGATTATATACTCGACTTGGGTTCATTCCCGTTTGCCAGAAAAAAAAAATACCCCGCAGAATCTAGTTCTTTACCCGAAGTTGTTCATTCCAAAGTGATTACTAACTATATTTTGATTAATCGGGCTTAACGTTTTGGTATTTCACCCTGCGTAACCAACCTATTGGTGATAAAATGCCAAGATTGCCACCTGCCTGTGTAAGTGTTTAATGGCCCAGTGGGGGGAACTGGGGGTTCGGCTCCAGCTGATTGGCTGGCGAGGCGGGCGTGTTCCCTGATCTTGGCATAGGCCTCCACATCGCTATCTTAGCCGCAATAATTGGCAAATGGTCCGATAAAGAGCGCAACTAGACTAAACATGCTGCCGCACTGATTAGTTTCGAAACTTGTTTTGATTCGATGGAAACCGAGTGCTGAATATTGATGAGGCGGCGAAAACGCTGCCTTGCGTCGCGTGTTTAGATCGAATTTCCATAATCACCGGCTACCGAAAGTCGAATTTATTAGGGATTATCGATTATGCTTCCAATTAGTGTAAGTTATGCGTGATTCCTAATGACGCACTTTATGGTTTTCAGTTATTTGTTTTTCCTGTAACATTGATAGCAAACCGCATCATCCGCGGCTTATCGCGTAATTCCATCTGATCCGAAAACAAGCACGTGGGGTCGCGAGTTCAGTTGTGGTAACAACATCTTAACTCGACTTGCAGTTCAAGTTCGAATGGTTGAATGCCAGCTGAATTCTTTGTGGGCATAATAGAACTTAATTGCTGGCTTCGAGTTACTCGATAAAGCGAGCGAAACATTGTTACCACATTCTTGTGATTGCCGGAGGGGAACCCATAATGATTGGGGGTCTTTATCGCACTGCTTTGTTGACGTTTATTTCCAGCCTCATATCTTTATATCATCATCACACTTTTGGCAACCTTCTCAGCAAAACAATTTCTATCATTATTGCAGGGGAAATGGAAAAATCCAATGCGAAGTTACGCCCGAAGAGTTAAGGGCCCTGCGGGTTCTCAACGAAGACACGTTTGTAGACCAATTCCTCTCGGTTTTGTTTTAAATCTTTGTGTTGAATCTTTACCACATTTATTGGAACTTTGTGCTGTGCTCAGTCATTTTCTGTTCTCATAATATTGGCGGTTAAAATCGAATTGAGTTTTATTGTTTATCCACATTGTCTCACTGTCCTCAAAAAAGAGTATTTTCATTCAGAAGTTTCACTGTTCAAAGTAATTCTTTCATGACACAACCAAGCTGATAGCAAACAAATTATTTGTTCTGATAAAACGCTGATTGGTATCTGTATCGAGATATGTTCCCCAGAGGAACCCCATCCCCAGTCATCCTATATTTTTTCCCTCGGGGAATCGCATCTCTTCAGTACATTCCTTATCACCGGGGCGAGCAGATAAAAAGGATCTCTTGCCCGTACACCATGTACCAAGTCAAATTTATTTCTTACTCGTTACTTCTGTTCATTTTAAATAGTTAATATATCAAGGTACTAATTCAGTGTGCTGCCTTCCGCAGGTACCCCTATGAGGTCATCGAGGAGATCGCCGATTTCATCACCAAGGGCTCCGGCATGCGCCCTAAGATCGGCATCATCTGCGGCTCCGGGCTCGGGTCGCTGGCCGACATCATCCAGGACCCGAAGATCTTCGAGTACGAGAAGATCCCCAACTTCCCGGTGTCGACGGTGGAGGGCCACGCCGGCAGACTGGTGGTCGGCACCCTCGAGGGCGCCACCGTGATGGCGATGCAGGGTCGGTTCCACTTCTACGAGGGCTACCCGCTTGCCAAGTGCTCGATGCCGGTGCGCGTGATGAAGCTCTGCGGGGTGGAGTACCTCTTCGCCACGAACGCGGCGGGCGGCATCAACCCGCGGTACGCGGTGGGCGACATCATGCTGATGCACGACCACGTCAACATGCTCGGCTTCGCGGGCAACTCGCCGCTGCAGGGACCGAACGACCCGCGCTTCGGACCCCGCTTCCCCGCCCTCGTCAACTCCTACAACAAGGACCTTATCAACAAGGCCATCGAGATCGGCAAGACCATGGGCATCGAGTCGAACATCCACGTGGGCGTCTACTCCTGCCTCGGCGGCCCCAACTACGAGACCATCGCCGAGCTGAAGGCCCTGCGCATGATGGGCGTGGACGCGGTGGGCATGTCCACCGTCCACGAGGTCATCACCGCCCGGCACTGCGACATGAAGGTCTTCGCCTTCAGCCTCATCACCAACAAGTGCGCCACCGAGTACAGCGACAAGAAGGACGAGGAGGCCACCCACGAGGAGGTAAGTTCCACTCTGGACAAAAGTATCTTAAATTCTGAATTAATGTATCCCTTTTTTGCAACCTTATTTCAGGTCATGGCTGTGGCGAAGAACAGACAGAAGGCCTGCTGCGAACTGGTCTCCCGACTCATCCGGGAAATCCACATGGCATCAGCCTAGGCAGCGAGCGGGAAACAGCGTTGGATTCTAAATTTAACAGTAGTTAATTCACTAGACTCGCATCTAAGACTCACAAGACATGGATTGTCCCAAAATCTACAGTATAAGGCTAGGGAATAGTTATTCTAAATTATGTAAAATAAACTAGAAATATCGAAATTGTACTCTATTTTTTGGGGGCTCAATTGGGAAATCTGAAAAATAAAAGCATTCGCAAGAATGTTGTGCTTGGCCGACCGATTTCGACGACAAAAATTGAAATTTTATGATTTAAAACACCAGGCGAACAGAACGCATTAGTTGGTGATTTTTTAATTTTAAAAAAAATATACATACAAAAAGTGTAGCATACCTTAGGGGGCGAGTAAATTTTAATTTTTGGCAATTTTCATTAAAAAGTGTAACATACTTTTGGGGGCAAGTAAAACACGAAATTTTTAATGCGGTTACCTACTCTTGCATTCTGTTCGCCTGGTACTTCAAAATGAGGTTTGGTTGAATATGTTGGTCTTGGCCGAATGATTTCGACGGGCCAAATTGGAATTTTAGGATTTAAAATACCAGGCCAACAGAACGCATTAGTAGGCGATTTTTTGGCTGTGCAATTTTACATAAAAATGTGTAGCATACTTTTGGGAACAATTAATTTTTAATTTTTGGCAATTTTCATTAAAAAGTGTAGCATACTTTTGGGGGCAAGCAAAACATGAAATTTTTAATGCGGTCACCTACTATAGCATTCTGTTCGCCTGGTACCTCAAAATTGGTTTGGCCCAAAAATTGTGGATTTGGCTGAACATGAGTTAGCCATGAGTCAGCAAATCGATTGGCGAATACCAAATTCCCTTTTTGGTATTAAAATACTCAAATATACCCTTGTTTTTCCCAAATAATAAAAAGATACATTTTCAATACAATAAAATGTTATTTAATAAAATATAAGCAATAGTATTTAACATAATAAAAACACAATACAAAGTAATAAAATTAGGAAATAAAGCTAGCATTAAAATGATTCCGATTTAAAATGAATTAACGAGAGAGCTCGTTGCTTTTTGGTTTGCAGAGATTGAACAAATGCAATTTCGTTAAATCGATAATGTGTAAATAAAATAATGGTAAACAACTCAACTTAATATTATGTACAGGTAGTCGAAGAACTCCGATCGGCTATCGAATGAAGCGAGTTGAAATTTATTGCCTGGCATCGTGCACCTGTATAATAGTCGTTACATATATAAAGGCTATGTAAGCGTGTAAATAGAGAGTACATGGGGATATGCGCACGTATGCTATACTATATATTATATAGTAGGCCTAAAGAATACGATAGTTCAATCTGTCTGTGTCCGTTGCAAAAGCATCGCAGCCTACAAAAAGTGCCTAGAAAAGTGATTGGTTTTGCTTTGTTTGTGTTTTGTGATTGTGTCGTGTTGTGTTCAAGTCTATAGGTTGCATGGTGCCTCTCTCCTAGAACAGGCCTCGCTCCTTCTTCAGCTTGGTCTGCTTCCAGATGGGCAGCTGCTCGAACTCCGCCCGGCTGCAGCCCAGGGCCGCCCGGAAGTCCTCGGCGTTGAGGTAGACCTCCAGGCGCGTGGGCTCCACTCCCTCGGGCAGGGGACGCGCCTTGAGGACCTCCAGCGGATACTCGGTCTGCGTCATTTGTGCCAGCATCGTGCCGATGCTAGTAGGCTCACCAGTTCTCCCATCCTGCAGAAAATAAAGAAAGCAATTTAGTATACAACTTATACGAATTTAAGACCCAACTTACCTCCTCGTTGATTTCCCTCACGTCCGGCCGCTCTGTCCAGTCGGGAAACAGCGCCTTGAAGGCCAGCGGCTCCAGGCCCGCCCACACCACCTGGCCCTTGACGCCGTGGAAGGGCTCCTTCTCGTTCTCGCCGTGCTTGGCCCGCCAATAGTCGACGGCTGTCTCGAGGGCAGCGCGTCTCTCTGAGATCCAGCGATTCACTCCAGCCCGGTTGTCGTTCGTGGGGCTGCTTCGCTCGTCGGTGTTTACTGCAAGGTAATTTAAGGATTACTAATGCAAGTCAAAACTAAACCAATTGCTACTCACTCTTTACGTCCTCCAGGGGCCACCAGCCCATCCAGAGCCACAGCTCGTCGCCGTCGTCCAGCAGGAAGATGGTGGGCTGCCGGGCGTTGTACAGCTGCGCCTGGCTGAAGGGATACGGACTGAAGAGGTCCTGGCAGCGCAGCGGGTCGCTCAGCTCGAGCGCCTTGAACACGCCCTGCGTGCTGGAGAAGTTGAAGAGCCTTACTTGGTAGTCGAACGACTTGATGGCCTTCAGCAGGCTGCCGTACTCGCTCCGCTGCTCCTCCAGTCCCAGGGCTTTCCGGCACTGCTCCTCCTCGGATCCCTCCTCCGATTCGCTCAATCTGGCCGACTCGCTGCTGAAGAGGTCCTTGGGCAGCTGCTTCACCAGCTCCTGGGCCGCCTCCAGGGCCACCGATCGCGTGTGCGGAGCACTCTTCGATCCGTGCCACACGATCACGGTGCCCTCGCTGCCGTGGATCAGCAGCATGGAGCTGCGGGAGCGCAGCTGGGAGGACTTGCAGTCCACCTCCTTGAGGAGGGTCTCCTCGGGCAGGTTGCCCTGCAGCTGGTAGAGCCGCCACTGGGAGCGCCGCTCCAGGCACTGCTCCTTGCGGCCGCGGTGCTGCCACAGCTGGCGGAAGAGCCGCACGAAGGCGGTGCACTCGTCGCCCTGCGAGACGCGCATCTGGGCGCCCTTCTCCTTGTCCAGCTCGACGGTCAGCAGAGCGGCCGCGCCCTTCTCGTTGGCACTCGAGTCCTGGCCCTGCCAGGTGAAGTAGACGCACCTGTCGCGGCCCACGGTGCTCCGGTTCGAGACCTTGCCGCTCAGCTCGCGCACCGTGACCGAGATCTGGTAGATCCAGCGGACGATGTAGCTCTCCGCCGAGTAGAAGTGGCCGTAGTCCTCGCGCCCGTTCGCCGCGTCGAAGTTGAACTCGTGGATCTGCCACTTGTCCGTCGACTTGGTGATCACGTCGAAGTGCCGCATGGTGTCCGTGTCGTAGTAGAAGTTCCCCCGGCCCAGGTTGGCCTGCTCCAGCACCAGGTTCGGCTCCTGGTAGGGCTCCCCCTTGTGGAGGGCCGACCCGCTTAACGCGCGCACCACGTTCACCCCGTTCGCCAGGTAGTCCTTCTCCAGGTCCTCGCGCTCCAGCTCCGGCCAGTCGCTGAACTTCTCCTTGAAGAGCACGGTCTCCATGTTCTGGGTGATCTTGCCGAGCACGCACCACTCGGGCCGCTGCTCCGACCGCTTGGCGTACTTGGCGTTCTCGCGGCGACCCACGATGGAGGCGTAGTTGAGCGGGTTCAGGTAGCAGGCGGCGTAGTCCGCCGATCCCTGGGCGGCGAAGTGCTCCTGCGCCAGCCGCATGGCCGCCCGCTTGGCGTCCGAGGGGGCGTTCTTGCCGTTCCACACGTACAGCTCGCTGCCGAAGTCGAAGACGAGCACCTTGCGCGTGTCCAGCATGTCCACCTTGGGGATGCTGCCCCAGCACTTCTCCAGCGGGACGAGCGCCTCGTCCTGGTACTCGTACACCTTGTTCGTCTCGATCAGGCTGCTCTCGAAGACGTCGTCCTCGTCCGCGTGGCCGCACTCCGCGATCTCCGGCTGCTCTTCATCGTCCTCTTTCCTGCCCAGCAGCTGCCAGAACTGGCGCCACTGGCGCTCCTTCAAGTACTTGCCGTCCGTGAGGATCACCTCCTGGGCGGCGGTGCAGCCGAGGTCCTTGTTCTCCACGATGGCGGCGCAGATCTTCTTGCTGCGCGAGATCTCGATCACATTGGCGAAGGAGCCCACGTAGCGGAAGAGCTGCGCCCCGGCCACCAGGATGAAGCAGTCGCCGCGGTTCAGCGAGCTGGCCACCGGCTCCACCAGGCGCGTCTGCACGTGGGTGCGCCCCTTCACGTGGAGCAGCATCAGCGGCTTGTGCGGCAGCCACATCTGCTGCAGGGGAATCGCCGAGGAGCGCAGGGCCACCGACTTGAAGTCCTCGATGCTGGCCAGTCCGGCGATGGCCTCCGCGGCCAGGTTGGCATTGTGGCCATCTGAAGGAAGGGGAACTCTACTCTAGTTGGGTGTTCTACTTGAGGGAGTGGTGGTCCGACTTACATGACTCCAGCTTGAGCCGCCTCAGCTCCCGCTCCGCGATGCCCGAGCGCATTTCCGTGTACTCCGAACTGATGTCCGCCCGGGCAGCCAGGCTCTTGAGGGGATTGCGTGCCGCCCTGCGTCCCTTAGGTCCCTGCACGTGACGCTTGCTAACCAAGCTGCGAACGAAGAGGGAATTTGTATTTATTATTTGTAATTTAAGCCTTTTTGTCACATGCTAAACTAAATAAGTAGCACACTCTTATGCTCTTTTAGTCTTCATACCCTTGCAGAGGGTATTCTAATTTCAGTCAGAAGTTTGCAGCGCAGTGAAGGAAATTCAGGTTATTTAACCCTTATGTTAGTAACCGGGTACCCGGGTACCCCCCGCGGTATATCTGTGTGAAAAGCTTAAAGCAAGTTCAATATTTCATGTTAAGCTCTTAAATCGTCGTTTTTTAACTTAAAAGGAAGCTAGTTGCGAGTTCATTTAATTTATATATATTTTTTTTATTATATTTTTTTATGCTTAAACTTCAGCCATCGCCTCATTAGTAACCGGGTACCCGGGTACCCACAGTGGAAAGCATAGGAAATAAAGTGAATAAAATTTTTATAAATGCATGCAATATAATTAATTACATTGAACACACTGGACACGATTTACTGAATGTTCGTCACATACAGGTTGGCGACAATTGGCACAAAACTTGCGTGTCTTTCGCCGTCTTCTTATTGGCAAAGCATTGCAGACATAGCAAGATCCTATAACCATTTTTCTTCCGGTTTTATCTTCTGGAATCTCTGGACCAGGATTTACCACGACTGTTTCTGTCAATGCATGGCCTAAAATACTTTGAATGGCAATCTTTGTTGAAAAGTGACGCATTATTTGTGGATTCGCGGTACGATTTTCAATCATCGGCAATGCTAGTTCCTCACTTAGCTTACGCATAAATTGACGACGTTCTGTCGTTTTTTTTTATCATTTTATTATTTTTTTAGAATAAATTATATATGTCGCAAGTGAAGAAATATCTAACATATTGAAAAACATTGCCATTGGCCATCTCGAGGATCGTCGTTGACTGGTGTATCTCCGCACCATTTGGTCCATTGTGTCGACTCCAGTTTTATATTTATTATAGAAATTTATTATTTCTGGTTTCTTTTTAGCGTCATCACTATTTTTTTTTCCTTATATTGTCACTTACTATTAATATTTTAAGAAAAAAATATTTTGGAAAAATTTTTTTAATAAAATAAACAAAATTTTTGATATTCAGAATTATGGGTACCCGGGTACCCGGTTGCTAAAAGACGTCGGTAAAGTTGGTTACTAACATAAGGGTTAAGTCAGGGGTAAGGGGACATGGGATCAGTTAAATGACAATTGTATTTCATTCGGTAGAAAAGATAGTTTCTTGCCCAAATAACAGACAAATTAACAAACAAAACTACGTAAAAAAACTCAATTAAACCCTGTTTTTTTGCAATATCTCAAGAAGTACTCTTCCAAATGTGGAATGGCATACATCGTTGAATTCGCGATAAAATTTCCTATCCGATAGCATTCACATCTAAAATTATTGAAATTTGCGCATTTTTCGCAAAAAATGACGATGTAACCCCTTTAGAAAAAATGCAAAAAATGGCCAAAAATCATTTTTTTGTAATTGTCCAAAAAGTGATTGGACACGTTAACTATGGTCATAAGGAGCTCAAAACAGTGTTTGGTTCCGCTGTAAGTCACTTTTTGGTCTTATTACAACCGAAAAACCACTCAAAATGGTGCCTTTTGTTCTACATATTTGGTGACTGCAAGGGTACATAACTTCGGCTCACCCAAGCCAGCTTCCTTTCTTGTTCTTTATAAGAAAGGTTTTCTAGTGCGATCTATTTATGTATGAAAGAATTTCGTATGTAAACTCACCGCTCTGTGGGCTTGATGTCGTCGAAGGCGCTGATCTCCAGCTCGACGGCCTCCTCCTTCTTCGGCTTGGAGGCGAAGAAGTTCTCGAAGGTCTCCTGGTCGTCGAGGCGGGGCACCTGGATCCTGGCGCCCACGTTGGTGGGAGCGGCGGCGCTCTTGCTGTTGGCCAGCTCCTTGCTCTGCTTGGCGCTCTGCGGGGAGCCGCGATCCCCGTCCGACTCCGAGCTGCTGCTGTTGGAGCGACTCAAGGTGGAGGCCACCTCCTCCTCGGGGTTCACGCTTAGGCTGCGCAGAGCGGTCTTGCTGGGGGCGCTCCTGCTGTCACCGCCACCCGAGGTGACCATCATGGAGGGGCTCTTGGCCAGGCCGAGCTGCGGCTGGTTGGCACTGCGCACCTCGACCATGGGACACTTCTTGGCGGCATCGTTGGCGGATCGCTCGAACTGCAGCTCCACGGGCGACTGGGCCTTCTTCTGCAGTCGGCCAGCGACTGTGAACTTCTTGGCATCGGTTTGCTCTGAAGGGTTTGCAATAATGTAGGTTAATATTCGTACGTATTCGGGGGATGAGGTATGGCTACCTATGCGCTGCTTCCAGTTCTCCGAGTTGCACTTGAGCTTGCTCAAACGATCGGAGACCTTGCCGCCCTCCAAGCTGGTGGGGATGAAGGGGGAGGGGGCAGCGGCTTGTCCGAGAGCGAGTGGGCCAGCGACAGCGACTCCTGAAATCGGAAAGACGAGATGAGGTCGTGATTGCGTTCACTTTCCAAACTCGGGACCACCCACGCTCTAATTCCCAAATAAGAGCGCGTTTATAAAGAAATTAACGAAACTTAATGGCCTCGAAATATGGTCGGCAATCTGGCGATAAGGCATCGCTGGGTTGTTCCCCATTCGGATGAGTCACTCTCGGCTAAAACGCTTCTGTTTGTCAACAGTTTCGGAGATGAGGGGACGAGGAAACGCTTTTACCAGTTTTACTTTTTCCATGCCGGCGATTGAATAGCTTGTTTGCTGGTTTGTTTGTTTATTTGTTTGTTATTAGCGATTTGCGACTTTCCAGCTGCTGCGGCGCATTTCCCTGGCGCACCTCTGAATCTCGATCTGAAGGTCTCTAGAGCCAAGTGCGCTCCATTAGTGACCGCGGTGGATGCGCAGCTCGGGTTTGCTGCCTGCCCGCACAATGCCAATCTGGCGACTGCCACTCGCCGGCTGGCTAATTGCGCACCTTCGCGGGGCTCTAGACCCGCGAGCCGGAGAGCTCGAGCGGAGACAGTGCGAGTCATGCGATTAGATAGGGGAGCACCGCGGACAGGAACAGCAGGGTAATTTGGGCGAAACCCGAGCCACAAAATAAGTTGTTTACTAATAAAGTGTGGACAACTAGTAGGGCATTTGGTAATTGATTGCCTCCCGAAAAGAAATTACTTTTTTTTTTTACCAAGAAAGAGTTTGTCTTATGAAGCATACTCGTATTTTAATGAGCTTATTTATTTTTTTATTCCCCTCAATAACACTGCAGTAAAAAACATCCTGTTCCTCTATTTTATATGCCCCTTTCCTATAGTGATTGGCACTCCCAGCTCCACAGAAAGATAAGGAATATCTACCGATATGGGAAGTGGCGTTCGCCGACTCCCCTGCACTCGAATCTTGTTTACATTCCCGAACTGTCAGTGCAAAGCGAAAAGTTAATTCGTGTGTTTACATGGGCATCAGCATAAGTTATGGCGTGACTGTATCGTATCGATAAAGAGATCTGACCAGCCAGTCTTATCTGCCCGAAACTGTGTCTCGGGGTGAAGTTCATAATCTCGCTATCTGGTTTAATGTTTTGTGCAATGCTCAGGAACTTCTGTTTATGTTTGCCCGACTTCGACCCAATTCCACACCCCTTCTTTAAGTGTCTTTTATCTTTTGTTCCCCCCCCCCACTGCCACTAATTATAATTTAAATCCCTGATTGTAAATCACTGCACTCGAAGAGTCGCAAACGGTGGCCAACCTTGAGGACCCTCTTAAACTCTTTCCACAACGTATTTCTCTTGAATTTCAGCGTGTGTCATCGAAGGCACCTATCAACGAATACGAAACTCTCGGCGTGAATCATCCCACAAACAAATTGATAAAACCAATACGAACTGGGTAAAAGCGAGGCAATAATCGAGGAGGAAACAAAGCGCGACAGCAATTTGATTAACAGATGATGCGATGGAAACCGAAAGGTAGAATTCTTTCGTCTGAGAAGAGCCCAAAACCTATGAACACATCATCCGAAAGGTATGACGCCACAGAATCACAGCCAATAAAGGCCAATTTATAATATTTCACTGTCCGTTGTTGTTATTTGCCTGCCGTGTTATGTTATTGGCTTATTTGCGTCGCTTTATTGACATTTGGTTTTCGCATGCGCTGAAAAATACACACTCGTATATTCGAAACTACAGAAAATGTTAAAATTAGCATATGAACATATTCATTTTTCCTATTTGGCGGAATTTGGCAACCGGTAAAACTGTGCCAAGCCAAACTGTGCCGAACCGAAACCAATTAGGCCAAGTTAAAGGTTGCCCTCGGCTATTCAGGGGATTCGAGTGCTTGGTGCAAAGTGCGTGGGCATCTGGCTAATTTAGCGCTCGATTGTGGATGAATTAAATGGAATTTTCCCCGGAACTGGTGTATCCAAAGGCCACTTTATCTGTGGTTCCATGGGTGCGGCTGCATAAACTCGAGAGGCCGAGAATGGGATTGATAAGGTCGCCAGCTGAGTCGGGATTTATTATTCATTCATTCACTCCACTTGTTCACCAAGGTTCAATGTCCTGAAGTGCGCGACTCACTCCCCGGAGACCTTTCACCGTAGGGTATCTGGTGGATCTCCTAAGCTGCCCCTTCCCATCATTGGGGTCCGCTTCACTGGCTGCGACTGCGATCCCCATCGAATCAATCAGAGAGACGGCACCAAAATTACCTCACATCACAATCGCTTTGCGGTGAGCGCTCTTCCCATCTCCCAATTTATAATTAATGATCGCTCCAACGTTTTGATTTGCGTCAATTTACTTGACAAATTGTGTGCGGGCCAAAGACACGCTTCGCTGGCTGAAGACTTGCCAAACTGCCAAACGAATTGGCCAGCAGCTGCGGCGAGGTGAAATTGCCAACAGAAAACAGCAAACGGCAAACAGAAGACTAAAATGTAAAATTGTTCGAATGCTCTAGCAGCTGCGCATACGAAAATATACAATGTTTCCTTTATTATTATTTTGTGTACGAGTAGGTGAGTTGCATTTGATACAAGTATACGAGTACAAACAGTAAACTAACGATAAGTAATACTACGGTACAAATTCGTACGATACGAACAATCGGCTTATTGGTTTAGCAGTACTGTTCTCTGTTAATGAGATGCTTCGCAGTTACAATTACAATTTGGGTTCTGGACAGACGATTGGGTTTACTAAGTACAGGTTGGACTGCCAATTGCGACCTTTGAGGGTTTTGTAGGGTCTGGAGGAGATCACTTTGGTTCGCTTAAGTTCCCATCGATTAAACAAACAAAGTGGAGGAATTTAGGTTGGCAAGCTGGCTGGTTCTCCAGTTTCCAGTGGCTGTGTTCCCCGGGGGATGGCACTGAGATGAATATCCCTGCGTGCTCCTCATCTGGTCTCGTTCACGTAGGTGGCCTCCTCCACGCAGGAGGCCTGCTCCTCGTTGAGCAGATCGGTGATGGAGTAGGCGGACAGGGGCCGCGAGAACCGCCGCTCCGAGAGGATGTCGTCGATGCTCGTCACCGGCGAGAGGCACTGGCAGTCGGGGCAGTCCTCCGGCTGCTCGGCGCTCCTGGCCATCACCTGGAAGATGTCCTCCACGCTTCTCTGCAGGCACAGCGAAGAGTGCTTCCGCTCCCGCTCCTGCTCCGGCTCCGGGGAACTGGACAAGGGCGAGGCCGTGGAGGGCGTGGCCGAGGTGCCGCGGGTGCGCCTCGCCACGGGCACGGCCATGGGCTCCCAGTCGCTGTGCCGGGAGGGAATTCCCACCTTCTTGGGGGGCTCCTCCTCCAGCTCCTGCCACAGGTGCATCGCCTGCTCGATGTGCTGCAGCTGCGCGGAGAGCTGGCTGGCGATGCTGGTCTTCCGGGAGGCGCAGGGGGTGGAGTCCCGCGACTCGTCGCTGGCCCCGAACATCCGGATCTCGGGCAGGCTCACCGGGGTCACCCGGTTCACCTGGCGCGTGGTGCCCGTCTCGAACATCCTGGCGATCTTGGTCACGTTGCTCCTCTTCACGGGCGCCGGACTCGGAGGAGGCAGCTCCGCCCGGGGAGCCACCTGCTGCCTCTTGGGATAGACCCGCGTGACGGGCTTCCTGGTCTTCGGTTTCCCGGACTTGCCGGCGGACTGCTCCTGGGCGAGGAGGTGGCAGCAGATCTCCGGACCGTAGCAGCGGTGGAACTGGTTCCGGTTCGCCTCGTAGTCCGCGTCCGCGAACCTCTTCATCCGGATGAGCGACTTGGGGACGAGGGTGAGCACCGCGTAGGTGACCAGCAGGTACGGAAGCCACTCCGCGTACTCCCAAGCCATTTCCAGGTAATCCGCGCAGTCCGTCATCCTCATGCTCGCCTCGTTATCACCAATCCCCAATCACAAATTGCAATTCGATTCCGATCCGGGTGGTTATTAACTTTTACCTCGCTTTTCCGCTGATATCGTTTTTGCAGTTCTCTTTTTAGTTTCGATAAGGGCAAAGTTTTATTATGACATCACATCACTCTACAAGGGGATGGGTTAAACAATGGAATATTTCATTTATTTCACGGCTGGCATTCGCATTCACTTGGCTGCAGAACGGAACACATTGCAAAATATTTACTCAAGTCGATATTTATTTATTTGTTTTGCAATGTCTTCCGTGCGAGATTCTTTTGTTCGGGTTTTCGATTTATTTGCACAATCATAAGGAAAATTATTGATTGGAAGGTATTTACGCTTTAGGAAATTAATAAATCCACTTTTATTGATTTAATTGTTTTCTATTTAGTTTATTTTTAAGTCCGAAGCTTCGTTTATGTTTTGCAATACTTTTCACAGCTTTAAATTTTTTTGCTTTTATTGAAAACATAATTCTTTAGGAAATTATTTCTTTGGAAACTATTTTTTAGTTGTGATAATATTGGAAAATATAAACGGAATGAGGAGGTGTATTTTTGTGCAACAGGAGCCAAGGATTATAGCCCCACACACCCACACACCTTTCGTCAAGTGGTGTCCGCTGCGTTTTGCACTTCGCGCTGCAGCTCGCATTAATATTTATATTTCGGATCTCATAAGTGCGTATTTTTATCATTGCCCGACATCCGATATCCGAGCATTATTTATTTACTTATTTATTTAGTTTGCAATTTGTGTTTTACGAGCGGTTTCGGATTGTTTCTTTCGTTTCTTGGCGCTTTTTGTATTCCGTTGCGCCTCGCGGTCGTTCTCTTCTCTTTGGCTCCCCGTTTTAAACTTAAACGCTGCGCCGACACACGGAATCCGACGACACTGTTCCCCAAAAACTTGACGAAAGCTGCGCGCGTCGCTCTGGGGCTCTCTCTGCGCTCTCTTGGGCGAGCCCTCTCCCTTTCGTTGAGTTTGTTCTCCTCTCGCTCGCTCTTTCGAGGAGAGGTCTGTTGCACTTGCGCAGAATTCTGTTTGGCGATCTGATGATGCTGTTATTCTGCCTCCGTTGTTGTTGTTTTAGCTCTGGTTGGGTCTCCTTGGGTCAAGTTGTTTGTTGTTGTCTCTGATAAGAACGTGCGGGTGCGAGGGAGCCAGCAAGAGGGCAACTTTCATTTCAAAGAAGTTCTTTCAGCGGATTGCAAAGGAATCATTAACCCTTAAGGAGTTTTGCAGATGTGTTGTAGTTCAATCTCGTTTCTTTTTTTATATTGAATGAAATTAAACGTTAAATTAACACACCTTCATTACCAACAATTTTCACTGTTATCGTATTTATTTCCGTTTTTATTGCGCAAATATTGGCACAGGTTTCCACATTTCCATTGTGCTCCGCGTATCATCTCCGCTTTTATTTACAGGTTTATCTGAGGCCTGTCATAAGCAAACAGCTCACGTAGGTAAATAAACCAAATATAGAACAGCCCGAACGACACGATCAACAACGACAACTGGTGGCTCTTTGTGATTTATAGGAATTAATTGCTAATTGTTGATTTTGCGCCCCTTAGAAATTTGTGTCATCTTTCTGTGAGTTTTCCCATCTAATATAGACGTGTGCAGCGCCTATACGAGTATAAGTGAAAACAGAACAGATTTCGAACTGAACCAAGTGAAATGCTTGTTTACGAACAACCTGCGTGGGTTCTGGTTCTGTTTCTGTTTCTGAATCTTGTCTACACGATTTGTAATGGGCAACGCGATTGCGGTCACTTCGGAGATTTCATGTCAAAGATTTCATTTTATTTTGACAGTCGCACTCGAGAAAGTTTCTTTTCGCAGGTGGGTGGGTATGTATTTCAATGTATTTCGTTAGTTTTATTTTCGTGCGCGCAAGTGGAATAGCCAGCCTTGAAACACTTTGATATTTATACACCGTTTTCATAATTTCATATTTCACTTTTTCTTTTCTGCCAGCCAGCGAATGCCAGCGAGCACAAATAAAAACACACCATTCGCTTCCTGCTGCATTCGACAGTTTATGCAACTCAGGAAACCACTTCGCATTACTTTTTATGCAACTCGCAACGGGCCCCTAGTTTTATTTTTAGTCTGCCGCTTATCAATTTTAATGTCAATTGAAGCCGGCAGCGAGTAATAATGCATACTAATACGGTGCCAACAAAGTCAGGCGAATCGGATCGGATCGGATCGAGAGCTTGGAAATCAAAGTCGAACTGCCGCTGCGAATTGCAAACCGCTCGACATCAAGGCGCGACTCAAACTGCCTCGTAAATTTACAAGCCGCCGAAGTCGGGGTCGGATTCTTCCAAAAGCCGGCTATTCGGGAGAAACGAAGCTCTGGCTACGAAGCCCCGGCTACGAAGACGTCACTTCAGGAGGCTCTTTGAATCAAACTAAGCGTTGAAAACAAGATCATTGTGGCGTAAAAGGGACAAAACGAAAGCTAATGAAGAGCTCAAATTGTGCCCTTTGCAAATAATGTTTACTTTGTTGCAACTTTTTGAGGCCAGGCTTTTATTTCATCAAAATCAAACCGATCTTTATTGTGCACACACATTTTCTGTACACTTTCGTGACTGGAATGTGACCAACAAAAAAAAGGGACAGAAATTTTTGGGCTGGGTCCACATCTGCCCAAGCTGATGAATCACCAGCAGGCAGACATGAAGGCCTAACGCGAAATTAAATTTAGTTGGTCCAAAAATAAACCAATGCAAGTTCAACAGCATGAACACAATGATGTAATTGCCTAAAAACTCAATAGCACTTAGAACTGAGAACTGAGAAAAGGTGGAAGAACGAGAGCAACGAAACCAGGCGACAAGCCGCCTTATCTCGGAAAGTAATGAATCACACACAGAAGCAATAAAAGTAATCAGCAATAAGCAGGCATTCTTGCAGCCTGTAGATACATTGGCCAGATACAGATACAGATACATTTGCAGATATAAACACAAGTACGAGCGGAGAAACAGAGGGCAGCAGTTGATTTTAGAAGTTTATGATCAACCGGGCCACTGCTGTTTTTCTGCTTTTTGCCGCTCTTGTTGTCACTGCTGCTGCTGAGAGGGCATGGACTAATGAACAAGTACAGCAGCAACATCCAGTAACAACTGCAACAGCAGCAACAACAGCAGCAACAGCCACAACAGCCACAACGATAATGAAGTAGACAGAGGAGCGCTGCAAAAACTGCAAGTATATCAAATTCACAAAACAATTTACAACGGCGCGAGGCGAGGCCCGCAGCTGGAAGATGAGCACAGCACGTTCAAGATCGAGACAGAGATCAAAAGCAGTGGACCAGGCCCAAAGCCCCTAAAACAGCGACTTCTGCCAGTTAGAAGCGGTCCAAAAACTACCTTCGCTCGCCTCCTTTTGCCATCTTTCAACTCGCTTTGTAATGGTTACTACATTCGGAAAAACTGAGATACAGATTCTCGGAATATTTCCGTTTACAAGACCTAATAATTTGTTATTTCAGAGGACTCACTTCTATTTTTCGGAATATTTTTAGAACGCATTATTTATTTTATAGCCCTGTAAGCAATAAATTCGGAATGCCCCGAACTTTGATTGTTATTTTCCAAGTGTGCGATCTTGTGCAGTCGCTGTTGCTTTTTCAGATGCTGCTGCAGCCCACAAGGCGAGTTTAGAAATTATGGCAAAATGGAAGTTGGCAGCCGCCTTGTGAACTTGTGAAGGGAAGCGGAAAAGAGACCGAGTCTATATATTTTTAGCCGCCCTGCTGGAGCTGAATCTCCTGGATGCTGGTTGCCGCATGCTGCATTCTGCACTCTGGGCTGCCCTTCATTACTATGCGCATTTTTATTTGCTGCGCTCGTTGGCTCGTTGGCTCGTTGGCTGGATGGCTTTCTGCGATCGCGCCTGATAAATTGTGCTAAATTACGAAAGATTTCTCTATGGCTTGACACTCGCTCAGGGACTGCGTCAAAGAGCTGGGCAGCCTAATTGTTCATCCGCCACCTGGGACGTCTGCCAACCAGCGCATGAAGACGAGTGCTCTCGGATTCAACGGAGCGTCGGAGCAGAGACACAGAAATTCATCTTAATTATTAATAAATTGTACTCTAATGGGCGTCAAGTGTCTCGTGCGGCGGAAAATGAGGGTAGAACTTTGGGGGAAATGTGGGAATGAGCATTCCCCCTCCCCAATGTGGCTCCTCAAAACAAAATATATGATCTGCCCATTGACCTTGTCCCACTGTTCTGTCGTCGAGCACACAGAAAGCAATGCTTACATGTGTGTTTTGAAGTGTATTTTTTTCAGTGCACCGAACCAAAGCAGCAACAGCTGTAGCAACAGCAACAATAACAAAGGCGACAGCACTTGAAAACTCATTTGCCGGGGAGTGGGGGGGATCTAATATGTATTTTGTTTGGTGTGTGGGTCAGAAGATCGCTCTGACACGATTTCCTCACAATTTCTTTCTCCCATTAGACGACCCGATGAGTAGGCCCCATATACTCGATGTGTACATATAATCGTATAGGGAGGCGGAGTCCCCAGTAATTAAGCGCGGTTACTTTTAGGGAGAAGGCGCGAAAAGGGCGGGCGGAGGCTGCCCGCATAATTATGGACCAGAAGTAGTAACCGTTTAATGGAGAGAGTTCACTAAACTTCATGTCTCGCCAAAGCTAGCGGCAATCTTAAATGGATCGGCTAATTGACAGTCCGAACGGAATCGGATTTTAAACCGAGTCTATTATGAGCGGCCAAGTGCCCGTGCCCATAAATAATATGCCAAAAGCAGGCGAAACTTTTCGGTGGCTCAGTGAAAACGAAAAACATGCCAAACTTGCACTTCCTCCAAAAAGAAACGCGAAAAAGTTCGTTTTCATTCGTTTGAAGTCAACTCAGAGGAAGAGCTCCCGCTAGGTGGCGCTGGTGTTATTTCAGCTTGGGAGTATGCAACACTTTTAATGTAAAATGTATCTCGTACACTAGACGTATACGTAATGTAAAATCTTTCACGTAAAGCATGAAACTAAGTTACAAAATTAAGTAAAGCTGAATGCTTCCGAAGATTTTATAATTTTAATAAATGTATAATAAATTATGAATGATTGCAAAATTGGTAAAATATAGCCTTTGCTTTAAATTCAGATCACATGAATGGCGTTTAAGTTTCTTATCGAGCGTATTTGTTTACTTTTCAGAACCATGAACCATTTCGCAGCTGTTTATGCAACTGCAAACGGCCAACTTTGCATTATGAGCCATTCTGCTTAATCACAATCAAAACAAACGCACATCAAGCCACCTTATCGCGGCATTCATTACGTTTACGTCATTCCCCCCAACGGGATGCGAGTCCCAAGTGATCCAGATACCACCCGCAAACGCAGGCCTCCGCGATCGTATCACTTGCACTTTTCGCATTATTATGTCATTGCCGTCAGGTTTAACGCTCAGTTGGCATTGCACGAACAACGGGCAACGGGCGCATTGCAGAGATTGCGGAGAAAATAGTGCAGCGTTAATAAACAAAACGATTAGCAATAAGGAAACCATTTTCACGCAATTGCGATCGAGATCTCGGTTTCGTTGCGGTCCACGGATCGCGCAGTGCGTTTCCATCTTAACCTACACTATCTGTCCCCCAGACACCATGGTTTCCCCCTCCTTTCGAGGAACAAGATTCAAGGCACAAGTGGTACTGGTACTCACGTTCACGATGTTTTCGCGGTGCACGTCGTCCACTTCGTCGCGCTTCGAGATGCGCTTCTTCCAGTCGTCCTCGCCGCTCTTGTGCAGCGCCGCCAAGCGCTCCGCAATCGAGCCGGTCTTCGCGATCACCAAAGGCCGCTGATCGGGGCCCATGACCTGGATAAATGGATAAATCGATAAGTGGTTGGCTGTGGATAGTTGCGATGAGCTCACACGTGGTTCGGTTTAATTGACACTGGGTCAGGGATTCGATTGGGGTTCTGAATGGGAACCCGAGGGAATTGATTGATGGTGCGATCGGGTTGGTCAGAGTTAAAAAGTGTGAATGCTAATCCGTATGAGGATTGAGTACAAACAGTAAAAACGAATAATTTCGAAAGGTTGTGTAGACTGTTTTCGCTAAGAATAAAAACTCTACATATCTCCGACAAAATCTTGGGGATACTTTGTAATTGATTTAAATTCCGAAGCTCCTCTTTGCTGCTAAAAGAAAATCCCCACTCACCTCTGTTGCTGATCGCTGGACTCCCTGAAGAAACTGAGGCAGAGCCGTTGGATTCGATGAGTCTCCCGAAGCTTCTTCCGGCTTCTCCCTTTCGGTTTCGGGGTCGTTCTGCTTGTCTGGCGATTCCTTGGCGGAGGAGGTGCTGCTGCTACTGGGCTCCTCGTCCTTGGCTACATGACGCAACTTCACGAAGCCGCCGCCGAGGGGAAGAGGTGGGAGCTGGGGGCCAAGGCCGATGGCTGCTGGTGCCGCGATGCCCGAGTGGCTTTTGCTTTTCGCAACGAGATTGCTGCAAGAGAAACGAAGTCAGAAGATAAAGTAAGCCCGCATAGAGTGTGGCAATTAAGGTGCGTATCCACGAGATACTCGTGCCAGCTGAAACACTGCGAGTGCAGATGCGAATGCAGCTCCTGAGCCGCTGAAAACGTGCGTTTCCCTCAATGGGCCCCAGTGGGCTCCGTTCCCATTTTCCCCATCTTAATAGGAAACTCGTGACATGGCGTTTTCCCGGCCACTAATGAGCGAGGCGAGCTGCCTTATTTGCGCGGCCCCTCCGAGTAGAATGCACAGGAAGCGATCGTCGATCGACCATCGACAGTCGGACTCTGCTTCTGAGATGCTGAGGTTTCTGCTCTCCCGCCGAACCGAACCGAACCGACTTTCTCCTTCGAGAGGGGACCATCCATGCCACGGCCATTTATTAGGCGCTGGGCAGCGATTTCCCCGTAGATGGCAGTGGAATTTTCCCCTGCAAATGGTCGCCGGATCGGTTATTGTTATGGCTAGGTCCCATTTTTATTGGCCGTCAGATGTTGACGCTAACAAACCGCGGGCGGTTAATGAGACAAGTTGATTGCTCGGCTCGGGGGATTATCCTCGAAACTATCGAGTTTCCAAGTACCGACTGGCATTCAAAAGTATGTTGGACGGTCAAGATTGGGGAACACAAATTGCTGCATTAATCATACTTTTGCAATGGAAGTTGTTATTGGATGAGGGTATTTTGTATTGTGGAGCGATAACAAATTTAAAGTACTACTAAATATATTTCACTTCCTTTTCTTTAATCTAATGAAATATGTGTCTGAGTTCGTAGTGATTCTCATCGCTCATTATTTATATGATCTTTGCTTGATGAAAACGGCATAGAATTCGACTCAAATCTGTTGATCTATTGCATAGCGTTATTCCCCGCACATTCCATTCAGCACTTCCATTGATCAGAAGCGGGTCTTTGTCTCAGTAAAACAAGATTCGAGATTCGAGATTCAAGATTCGATCTGAATCGAATCGAAACCGCCTTGTATATTCGCTGTCTTTTTTAAGCGGCACCGTTAAGAACTCTCGGAGATTTTTCATAACTTCTGACCAGACACTTATTAGTCACCGGACATGTTTCGGTACATTTTAATTGCTGGATCTCTGGATTCTGAGCGCCTCGAGATATATCTCGCAGCGTGAGTCAAGAGTCCAGGGAAAACCGACTCCAGCGAAGTGGGCCCGGCATTTATATATGTCACGGGTTATTCGGAACGACGAGCGGCATTAAGAAGCCGCTGAGCACGAGAACTTGTTTGGGATTGGGTTTGGATTTGGCAATGGCACTGCAAAGGAAAACGAGGCGCACTCACATTCGGTAAATCACAGCACGTGTTTTTCGAGTCGGAGAGCCAGCGGAAAAGCGAATGAAAAGCGAACTGCACGCGACGAGCGAACAAAGACGAATGAGCAGGCAACTTGAGTTAGGTCCCAAGTAGCCAAGCCCAGCCGAACCCCAACCCAAACAAATCCCGACCAAGCTCAGCACCTGCCCACCGACAGCAGGTAAACAAACGGCCGAACCGCTGACAGCTAAATTGCATATTAATGTGGAAATTTTTGACAGGACCGCGACAGGCAAACGCTGACCAGCTGCTGATTTTCGGACCTCATCTACCTGAGACAACTTCGAAAACTATGCCAACAGTTCGCTGATCGCGTTTAAGTCTGTCCAAGAGACGCGTGAAAAGTATTTAAGCGGATTCCCAACACCCTACACATAAATACTCCATGAGAGAAAATAAATCATTGCAATGATTCTACTGCGATACAGATTACAGTATCTCTAAAACTATACATCACCACATAACTAACTAAGTAACAATGTATTGCTTCGTTTGGACATCTCTCAAAACCAAACTGCAATTCAAACTCGAATCAAACTGAAACGCGCTTTCAATTACCATGCATAACCACATGGAAGAGGCATTGCCAAAGTTCAGAGCTTCGCCACAACTGCTGAAACGTGGAATCAAAGTAAAAGCCTGCCTAATGGAATAATGGCAGAAATTGCAGACATCTCGGGGTGGGGGATTATCTCTGGCCGGGAGCGATAGGTCAGAGGGCAGACACGCGAGTACGAGTACGAGAGTGGCTCCTCCTGGGCTTCGACTTCTCCAGTTCCCTGGTTCTTAGGTTTCCCAGGCGATGGCTCAGTTTTAATGCAGTAATTGCCCTTTGGAAAGCGTTTAGCGTTTGCCGTTTGGCGTTCGGCAGCAATTAGTTTGAGTGGCGAACTCTGGGTGCGGTCGATGGCTAAAAGACGCACCCAGAAACGCGAAGGCGGGCCAAAACCACCTCGGTTTGGCAGGACTGACAGGCGAGAAGCTCGCTCTCCGCGGAACACAGACTTTTCTGCATACAATTAGAAGCCATCCCAAGGATCGTTGATCATTCACTCACTCGCGTTTTGTAATTGAATTACCCGGTGCGGTAATTAAAATTTCTTTCGGGCAAAAGTGAATGCGAACCGAGACTGAGAGTGATCACGCGATCGGTTCGGTTTGGCAATGCGGCAGCGCTTTGCGGGGACTTAATGATATAACAAAATGAATTGTTTTATAAACTATTTGGCGGGCCATAAGCAATTGCACGCCACCAACTCTCGGCTTTATGAGGCCCTCACACGCCAGCATCGCAGCTAATGGAGCTGTAAACTCGGAGATCCACTCAAGGTGTTGATAATGTATGCAAAAGTATGTACGAGTGTATGAGCTATGCAGAGAACACTCGCTGCACTCGCCCCTCCACTCAAAGGGGTCTCTGTCATTGTCTCTGTGTCAAGTGCTCGCTGCCAGATCCAAAAGCAATAATAAATCACGGCCCTGGCAACGGTTTGAGCGGCTTCCAACAAGGTTATCGCCGCAGTCTTGGCCGAACAAGTAGAAATAATAATATCTCGCGGCTAATAATACCAAAACATGATATACTTCCAACAGAAGCATCGCACTCGACGCAGACCGCAAATAAATATCGTGCTAAGCGATCAAGACAGATCGTGTGGCGGCACTCGGGGAAATACTATATCAACTATAAAATAAAACATAAAATACATGTTTTTATTACTTAACCATGCAGAAGCACGACATTTATTGTGCAGCTTAAATGATATCTGTTCAATACTGTAAATATTAATATTAAACAAGTAATGTTTAATCTCGCTTAAACTCTTTTTTCAAGTGCAGCCACATGAAACTCAGGTGAATTGCCGGTAATGTTTCGCGGCGAATAAATCACCAGGCAAGCAGAAATTGACTTATGCAATGAGTTATGGCAGAAAGCGAATGGGATTCGCAGGTCCCAAGAGCAGCGAATTTTGTCAGCCGAAAGAGCGACAATTACCCACGAAGGCGCCAAGCAAGCTGACGAGAGCAATGAAAGGCAGTGAAGCCTCCTGAGTCCGGACAATGAGCGGAGATCCCAGAGATCCGAGATCTCAAATCGCAGATCTCAGATTCAAGTTCGCTGGGGAGCGACTTTCCCACGCCGCAGTTTACCCGCTTTTGAAGTCGGCGGAGGAGAGTTGGCGCAGTGGGAGGCGGCGGTAATGATGCAAAATTACGACGTCAACATGGGCTTACAGCTCTTACAGCTCGCTTTTGGTCTGGCCATTCGACATTTCATTAGGTTTAAAAGCAGTGCCAACTCTTGGGGCCTTTGTTCAGTTTTTGCCCAGCAAATCTTGCTTAATTGTTGCTCTGGGTTAAAAGCCGAAACTTCACCTCAAGTTCAAGGTGTCGCGTCTGCTTGGTTGCTTTGTGAAATCGCAATTTGGCAATGGTCAAGGGGTCAACTCAGCAAAACTCATTGAAACCAACCAACTAACGTATTTTAAACTTATATATTTTAGAGTACTGATTACCTTCTGGGGTTAATGCTAGCAACATTTGGCTTGGCAACTTTGTTGCCAGACTTTCGCAAACAGCTGATTGTGTTTTCCACGGGCAGGCGCAGTATCCCAGACACGTGCCTTCAGCACCAACAACCCTCGAGTGAGTGCTCCCCCTCCAAATCCGAATCCGAATCCCCCAGACCTTCCCTTGGGGGATCCCCAGACATGTTATTCTTTCGGCTGTTCGGCGGTTCGGTTTGCCGGTTGCCGGGGTAACACCGAAAATGCGTCAAAACAAACCCAGCTCTTTGTCCGATGTCAATGGCCATGGACGGGGTGGCCAACCAGGGGGAGGTGGGTGGTTTCGGGGGTTTGGGGGCCACTGACTCTGTGCTTGGGCTGCAGCGGAAGCAGGAAACATGCGTTTTTTGGGCACCAGACAAAGGAGTTAACTGGAAGCGCTCTTGCAGCTGGCTAACAGCTAAGATCTGCCAGACACGATGATGGGATGGGATGCTATATCCCATTAAAAGCGGGGAACTCCCCTCCACTTTTCCTCGGGGTTGCACTACGTGCCTGTCACGGCTTTTCTCTTGTTTTGCAGATGGGCGTGGACTATTGATTGAGTTTTCCTCCGCTTTCCCCCGGCTCTCGGACCCGCATAATTACCTACATTACTTCACCGTGAAATTCTTCCGCTTTGTGCTTCAATTTCCCTGGGAAGAACGTGAGTCAACGTTTTCTAGCTGGTCTACAATTCGGCCGACTGCTCTTGCTTTTCTTTCTGCTTATAGCCCATAGCTGGTATCTTTCTGGGGAAGATATACCATATATATATGGATGTGACGCTCCCTTTTACCGTTCTGCTGGCGTCAGAGGAACAGCGTCATCGCAATGGAAAAGGTAAAGTTCTTTCGGCGCTTTCGACGGCTTGATAACTTGTTTCTCTTCTGGCCAGGCCCACGACAAAGTCGCTGGAACATGTGCGGATGTCATCCGAGCGCCTTAATTGACCGTCAAGTGAGTGTACTTGCTACGAATGTCTCCGGTGATTTGCGTTCTGTGCCCCCGTCCCCAGTTGCCTGCTTCAACTCCAATGAACTCCGCCGCCAAGTTCAACGAGTTAAGCGGGAACAACGGCGGGCAGAACTACCAGCCATCGCACAGTCCATTCAACTGGGGGCCTAGTACACTCAGAAAACAACTGCAATGCTTTAAAATTCTACTAGAGAAACCCTATTTTCGGTAAATAAAACATTAAGATCCATAAACCCTTATTCTATTTGTTTTACTGTGAGAGGAAGTGCCTGTTTTTCATAGTGTAGTCTTGAGGTCTGGTCTCGTGTCTTGTCGCCTCGCTCCGATTGTCACAGCTGTTTTTTCTGGCGGGGAAGGTGGGGTTGGGGGGATATAGAAGCAGAGGGCTTGGACTGGTGGCTTGTCAAGTGCCATGTTCTGCTCACTGGAAGATGCCACCGTTTCCTGGGCTCACCAGCAGAGTTGCGAATTTTCGAGGGGTCGCTCTGACGCATAAATTTACCTTTTAATTGCTTAGACTGCAGAGAGGGCTTCTGAGCTGATCGGTGGATTGACACACTACTACTACTACCAGTTTCATATGCAATTCAAAGTTGATTGCTTCGAATTAAAAAGCTTTACGAAACTGAGCGGCATTTTAATCACCTAAAATACTGAGTATGCTCCTACAGTAAACAATCGTAGAGATTCTTCACTAAATGTGTTGATTGATCAACAAAGCAAACTAATCTTTTGTGATGGCTTTTTAATTACTTTAACTTTAAATCTGGTAATAACTGCGAAAGGTTAGAAGCCAAACCTTGTTTGTTTATTACTCCACCTTATCGGTAGATCACTGTATGTGCACTGCTCACTTTCAATATCAGCACTCGCTTACTCAGCATGGTCACTTCGACTATCTACAGAACCGAATGCTTAAAATGCGCACCGCACGCCTCGAGTTGCAACACTCGAACTCATAATCAAAACACAACTCGTGTGTTTCAACCAAAACCAGTTCCCCGGAGAGAAATCCGCCGAGAGCGAGAGAATCCCATTCTACAGACAATATTTAGTTTTGAAAACTGAAAACAGAAAACTGCGCTTGGCTGGTCAAGCGGCTGGTTATCAACACTCGACCATTCGAGCAGTTGATCCACAAAAGCGGCGGCGTAAACAACGCAAAAAGTGAAACCACACTCTGACCAGATTCTGGGCTGATCTGTCCCCCTGATCCCGGGTTTAATCGCCGCCGAGAGGTCATCTCCATCGAAAGTCACTAGAAACTAGTCGGTAGCAGTGAAAATGTGGCTGACCCTGCTTGCTGCCGCTCTGATCTTGCTGCTCACCTGGGACTTTGGACGCAAGCGACACCGAGTGGCGGCCTTCGAGAAGTCCCAGATCCCAGGACCCATTTCGATCCCTGTTCTAGGCTGCGGCCTCCAAGCACTTCGCTTGGGAGCGGAGAGTGAGACCTTGGCACACAATATCCCTTATCAAACCATCCTTAAACCGACCTAAAATCCCTTTTCAGACATCATCGGTTGGGTGGGCGAGCAGTTCGATCGGTATGGCAAGACCTTTCGCTTCTGGATCCTGGGAGAGTCGCTGATCTACACGAAGGACCTCAAGTACTTCGAGACCATCCTGAACAGCACCACCCTGCTGGAGAAGGGTCGGCTCTACGAGTACCTGCGACCCTTCCTCAACGACGGACTGCTCGTCAGCACGGGGAGAAAGTGGCACGCGCGGAGGAAGATCTTCACCAACGCCTTCCACTTCAAGGTCCTCGAACACTACGTGGAGATCATGGATCGCAACAGTGGGATCATGGTGGAGAACCTGAGGGAAGTGGCCGACGGGAAGACATCGGTGGACACGCTCAAGTACGTGTCGTTGGCAGCTCTTGATGTGATCACAGGTGAGTTGAGGCTCTGGCCAAATTAAGATACAAAACAGTAGCCATAAAGGTAAACAAGATTCTATGCTTGACTTTTTAACTGAATCGCACCTGAATTCTGGGAATTTTAATGTTTATTTTAGTTATTTTAAATTATAGCACTCGTTAAGTGAAAGACTGTTATCACTTGAAAGATTTATTTTTGTGGTAACAATATTTCCAAGCTTAAGATCTTATTAAAGTGCTGGTGTTATCGACCATTGAGCGTTATGCAACTCGTTGCAGTTGAAATAGCGGAAAAAAATTGAGTTTGTGCAATCAATTATGTGAGCAGAGACTATTTAAAGCTTGAAATTAACTTTTTCTGACTTTAACCCCACCTTTAAACTTTCAGCTATAAACCTTAACTTGTTTATGAGCCCTATGTATTGTATACACATATGATTTCACTATTCAAAGATATGGATTATCGATCTTTTAATATCTTTTCACAGAGGCCGCCATGGGAGTGCAGGTGAATGCTCAGAAGGACCCCGATTTTCCCTACATCAAGGCACTGAAAAGGTGGGTTTGTGTGACTAGACTTTCCCCGTTCTCACTCCCCTTTTCTTGCAGTGTGGTCTACATCCAGCCGGACCGCATGTTCAAGTTCTCGCAGCGCTACGACTGGCTCTTCCCGCTGGCAGCGCCCCTTCTCCGCCGGCGACTGCTGAGCGATATCCGCGTCATGCACGACTTCACCGACAAGGTCATCCGCGAGCGGCGGGCAACTGTGGAGCGGGCGAAGGCCGACGGCACCTACCGACCGCTGAGTGGGTGCACTGAATCACTGGTTAACACTGCACACCTATATGTTTTTCCCAATCTCTTTTGTAGGTTTGGGTGATGCAGACATAGGACAAAAGTCGCAGATGGCTCTGCTGGACATCCTGCTGCAGTCCTCCATCAACAATCAGCCACTGAATGACGCGGACATCCGCGAGGAGGTGGACACCTTCATGTTCGAGGGGGATGACACCACGAGCAGTGGGGTTTCCCACGCGCTCCACGCCATCGCCAGGCATCCGGAGGTACAGCAGCGGATCCACGAGGAGTTGCTCCAGGTGCTCGGCAAGGATCCCCACGCTCCGGTGACGCAGTCCCAGCTGCAGGAGCTCAAGTACCTGGAGTGCGCCATCAAGGAGACCATGCGGTTGTACCCACCAGTTCCCGCCATCGGAAGGCACACCCACAAGGATCTGCAGATCGGAGACAAGACCATTCCGGCCAACACGAGCATCTACTTGGTGCTGTACTGGGCCCACCGGGATCCGGACTACTTCCCCGACCCACTGAGCTTCAAGCCGGAGCGGTTCCTGGACGGGCAGGAGGAGAGCCACAAGAACTTCGCCTACGTGCCCTTCAGCGCGGGACCCAAGAACTGCATTGGCCAGAAGTTCGCCTTCCTGGAGATGAAGGCCCTTATCAGCAAGGTGCTCAGGTTCTACGAACTGCTGCCCCTCGGGGAGGAAATTCAACCCATGATGAACTTCATCCTGCGCTCCACAACGGGCATCAATGTGGGCCTAAGGCCCAGGAACTCATAATATCCCTTGGGAAAGTAACTTGTTTCGGGTGTTGGTAAAACTACCTGGGGTGTTCGTGATAAATTAGTTCATAAGCACTTATTAGCTAATCTCTAAGTACTTAAACCCGGTTAATTGCGGCAATAAAAACTACTTTAGGCAAACACAATTAATTGGTTAAACACTGACTACTGATTTACCATTAAAGGGCGTGAGAACTATAATTAAACCGCTTACTCATCCGACTAACTTTACAACCCCTCGAGCGCAATGCGACTCACCTAGAGTAGCCACTGAGATTGTGCCAATATTTGCGGTGATTATAAAATTAGGCCCCCAAACAAAAGGTATTTGAATAGTTAAACAGCGGATGAGCGTGGCGCGCCATAAAGAAACCCGCGCTTATCAACGTAAAATACTGTATTTGCCTTGGGCCAATATTAACCGGCTACTTAGAAAGAATTCACACCGAAAACGGTTCTTCCCGGGGAATCTAACAGCTCCTCCACCGTCATACGCAGAAAACAAATCTCGGTTGTAAATGAGTGCAACTCTCTGCACGGAAGCAGTAAATCTGCGACGATCCCAATTCAATCACGCCCAGAAGTCTGCTGTTTATCTATGGTTCACCAGTAGCCAAAAGATAATGCGCCAAGGCAATAGAAAGATTTGCAAAACAGATAAGCGCGTCACATAACGTCCTTATCGCCCGCCTGTCACTCGGATGGGGTCTGCATATAAAAGAGCCATCCGCCGGAGGCAGTGCGTCAAAAGAGCTTCTGCCCCGAGTCAAGTGATTATCGTCTGCAATGTGTCGCGAAATCTCTGCGAAAGTCCTGGCCTCTCTGGCAGTGATCGGTGTGGTGTTCCTAGCTCCCGCCTCGGGAATCAGCAGACCCCTGCCCCCCTACGTCGGCCTGCCCACCCAGGATGGCCTTACCCGGCTGTTCCTCAACTCGCGGGTCACGCAGCGCGACCCCTTCGCCTCGGTGGCCTGCTTCGGCGGCTACATCGGCGAGTCCAACCAGATCGCGGAGCGCTACAGCGCCAACTACAGCAGGTGTGCCACGGTGGCACAGAACTCGAGGAAGGGAATCGACACTGACTTCCTGGGCACCCGCCGCACCATCCAGCGCTCCTCGGAGAGAGTCTGCCAGGAGCTCAGCGTGTGCAACCGGATCAACGGCACCCTCGACTCCTTCGACTGCCACGCCGCTGTGGTGAGTTCACCTGGGAGGGGATAGCATCACGAAAGGGAACAGCCGCTCACAGGCCACAGATTAAATTAATAACTATTCGGTTCTGGTTTGATTTATACTGAATACCCTTGATTGCAGGGCTCGAACAACACGGTATCCACCTATAGTATCTCGGGAAACGCCTCGGAGTCCGCTAGTTTGCTGCGGGAACGCTACCGCGTGATCGATCTGCAGCACGAGCAGTGCTGCCACAAGGCAGAGCGCCACTACGTGGAGGCCACTGCCAAGAACTACAACCACCTGCAGGCCTGCCTGGATGGCCGGGTACCGCCGAAGCCAATGCCACCGATCACGACCACCAGCACCACTAGCACCACCACCACCACCACGACCACCACGGAGGCACCCACCGAGCCGCCGACCACAACGTCCCCTTTAGACGCGGACGATCAGTTCAAGCAGCTTTTGAATTTGCTAAACTAATCCCCAACAAAGTGTACACCTTCCTCAAGAATAAGCTACGTAATTAAAGGAAGGCCGGTCCTTGGCCAAACAATCCTTGGGCAAACATTTGCTCAACTCGAAATTCAACCCTCTGGCAAACGAATTAACCCTGCGAAAAGGGGTTGAAGGATTGAGTTTCGCAAATGGCAAAAACAGGGGGAATTGGCAAAATATTTAGACAGGAGATGGGGAAGTTCTGGCTTTAAATGTTGTAACCATTAAAGAAGGGAGAAGTGCAGATGTGTAGAATAAACATGGGCTGTTCTTTCACTTGGTTTAAAGTTAAAATAGAATAATTGATTATAAACAGATCAAACATCTCTAGCTCGCTTTCAAAAGGCAGTCTCTTTAGATCATGATTAATGAACTGAAAAGCTCCAAAAGCCAGCCCAAGGCCCTTCCGCTTTCGACACCTCGAGGCGGAAACACTTTGATTAATGATCACAGTATAAAGAAATTATTTAAGCCAATAATGAGCTAACTGCGAGGTAATTCAAGCAGATCTTGGGATCAAAAGGAGATAGACAGCGGCGAAATTATTATGCCATTTGTGGCAATGAAAATCAAAGTGGAGAAGCATAGAGCTGGCCAAACTGGAGAACAAGCCATTGAAGCTGGCCGCTCTTAGGTGGCAATCCCCGTTCCCCGGCCCCCTGCCCCTTTTACCCAATCAAAAGAACACGTTTGGCTTTTATGGCTTTCGGGCCTTGTTTTTGTTGCCTCCTTCCCTTTTAAGTCGTCGGCCAAGTCGGCTTTCCTCTGCAAGTGTCCCGCCTTCTAGGGCGCAGAGAACGAGATTCGTATTCGGGGAACAAAGACATGGCCATAGACGAACACCTGTTGGCCCCAGAGCAAGTGGCTCATTTATTAGCACAATTGGCGTGGCATTCGCCGCTGGTTCTCTTGTCTCATGGCCCATGGCTTAGAGACTTGCCAGAACCGAGGAGTATGCCTCTTGTGTGTAATTCCCGGAATGCGATTACGTCAATCTGGATGCGTTTTATTGCAGGCGAAAGGGGAGTGGCGCGATGGCTCTTTGGCTGGTTTCTAACTTACTATTGCCGCGGAGCTAATTAAAATGCATCTTGTAGTTGGGTGTTTACGAGGTGGGTTCTGATAATTGCCGGTGAAAATGCAGAGGAATGCGAAGGGGAGTGGTGATTATGCTGGCGATTGGAGAGGTGATAAAAGTTGTAATTTATAAGCAGCAATCTACAATTTGCCAACCCCAACTTTCGTTAATTAATTTTTGCACCATTGGCACCATAAACAGCTAATTGATTTGACCAAACACCAGCCATTACTCAACTCGATAGATTCTCCACAGCGGCTTTCATCTGATACGGCTGATGTTGAAATGCGGAATTAATCACCTACACATGCGAGCCGCAGAACTCTATTCCTAACCCACATCGGCGGCACAATTTACGCGCTTCATTGGGCCTCGGCTGAGACTCTGGGTCTAACCCACTCAAGCATGGCGAAAACGCAGAAAAAATGAACAAACAAAATCTGAGGCTTGTCAACGTTATGCATTACCGAACGAAACGAGTTTTCCCCTGCCGAAATCGTGAACTTTTCGTTTTCATTGGGGCGCAGACGGAAAATTGGGGAAATGTGTTAATGCAGCGTGAGAGAGCGAGTGAAAAATGCTCAATAAATATTGGCAAATGCTTTGCATAAATAAATGAAAATTGCTTATGCCAAGACGAAGCGGGCTGACAGCTTGGCCAATTAAGGCAAAAGTTGCAAGTGCGATGGCGGCATCGTTGTCGCCAAAAACAAAAGCCAGGCAAAAATGTTTCGGCGGTAATTGGGGCGACGAATTAATTGCATCCTGTATTATTGGAATTTAATCACCATTATAATTTGCGGTGTTTCTCTGCTTTTCACACAGATTTCTAGAGATACCAAATGTGTAAATCGAGGCGAATTTTTCGAAAAGTGAAAGGAATAAATCTTGAAAGTAAATAAAGTATCCTAATTCGAGCAGCAGTAACAGGAGAACCCCAACGTAAGTGATCGCTGATCGAATCTACCTTTGGAATGCAAACACTTACAGGGTATTTAACCAACTGTACGGAAAACTAGTTTGCCTGGAGCTGAAAAAACCAACAACTGAAAGCGCAGAAAAGGAAATCGTCGCCCGTCGTCATCGAAGTGGCTGCTTTTGTTGCTTTTGCTGCTTGCTGCTGGTGCCTTTTAAGGCTTTTTGGCGTGTTGCGCATGCGCCGTGTGTGCTATCAATTTCAGCGCCAGTGTATGGGTGAGTATCTATGTGTCGGTGTATTCGGGTCATTCGCATTTTCACATTTTAAGGCGCAAGTTGTTTTTGGTTTTGCATGTTGATTTTGTTAAGATTTCTGCCTTGCAGCCTTTTGCTGCACTTGCTGCCTTTTGCTGTTGCTGTTGCTGCTGCTGCTGCTGCACTTTGTTGCAACTTTTACTGTCAGTGAACAGAGGGACCCGCCTTTCGATCACCCCGCCCCCTTCTCCTGTCTTGGCCAAGTTTGTGGAGAGGCCTGTTAATGGGTAATGGCATGTTGCTGCTGCCCGATGAAGCGATTTTTGCTTTGTTTGTTACTTAATTGCGCCAAAGTCATTAATAATCGATTAACAGTATATGGCGAGAGGATGCTGGCGATGAAGCCAGATGGGAATTTCGAGATGGGAGTCGCAGGAAGCTGGGAAAGGAAGTGCTTCGAGCTTCCTTTCGGATGGAGAGAGCGCGGCTCATTCGGGAGATCGCCTGCCATAAAATGATTCAGCCATCTATCATTGCTAAGTCAATAAAAATCCTGTTGTGATCAAGAATTTAATACGTTTTTCTCGCTCGCTAAATCGACGTTTATATTCGATTTATGGTGGTTCGCCAGTTACTGTCACCTGTCCGGCGTTTCGCGTAGAAGCCTAAGCAGCCGAGCAGCCGAGCAGCAGGTGTCTAATTGATTGACTGACAAGCGACACTCGACAGCCGAGATGGGATGATTGGGGGTCTGGGAGTTTGCAGTTGGAAGGTGGGAGTTTGGAGCCCAGATGGAAATGGAGATGGAGATGGAAATGGCAACGCACTGACAGCCAAAGCCAAACAATGCAATTCCATGCATCAAAGGAAAACAGCTCATTGTTTGTCACTCCGTCGCCCAGAAATCGATAGTACGCGATAGCAAGTGGCGGACAGGGAAGCGATGGCCTGGATACTCGAACCTCAAGGAAGCTGCCCAGACAGCTGTAACTGGTACGTACATACAAAGGAAATTGAATAACCAGGCGCACGAAGATGCACAGCACAGCAGAGCACAGCACAGGACTGAAATAATAAATGCCCAATGATGATATCTATGACAGGGCAGACAGACAAAGGAGCCAAACCAGCAAGCCAGCAGGCCAGCAGGCCGGGCACAAAGAGCTGGATTCAGTTGCTGGAAGATGGAGTTCCGAAACGGGCGGCAGTGGGGAGGAGGCTCCTCCACTTTGCATTCGCTGGAAGCTGCACACGAAGAAATCACAATCGGATTTAACTTAAAACTAAACACAATCTCGAACGAACTTAAACCCCTTCTTGGAATACTCAAACGCTTCTGCTCTGAGTTTTATCAATGTTCACTTTTAAGCCATTCAACTTATCTTTAGACCAACCAAAATATTTCTCCAAGTATGAGGACCGGCTGCAGCTGCAGATTTATGAGCGGTTGTCAGACAACAAAAGTAGCGAATGCGAATGCGAATGCGAGTCCGAGCTGCAGCCCAGAACTTTGTCCGAAATGAGTTCATTGCACGGGGACGCGAAGGAGGAGGCTCACCAGCATCCAGCATCCAGCATCCAGCATCCAGCATCTTCCGACCCTGGAGAGGCCCTCCGTGAATGCCCCAGCTAATGAGTTGTCAACGGGCCTGATGAGTTTTATTTGCCCGGCAGACAGGCGGACAAACACAGCGTGCAAATAGTGAGTTGTGAGAATAGGAGCCGTGCGGATTTGCATATTATCCTGTCGGGTTGGTTGACTCCGCGAGTGTCAAAGTCAATGTCAGAAAAACTCCGTCTGGAACTGCTGAAGTGACAGTTTAAGTGCATCTATTGCAGCTCCTGCCCCTAAAACTACACGGCCACAAAACGGCGACTCACGTTTCCGCTTCTGGCCATAAAAGCGAGAAGATTTATGGCTATTGCTGGTGGCGTCCGAGCATAAAAGGATTCGATGCGTTGGCCAAAAGTGACTCATAAAAAGCGCACTAACTGTCCAGAAGCAGTAGCTACACATGCGAAACGGACATGCAATTTACTAGCTTCTTTTATGTACTTTAAGTCTTTAAAAAAGAAAAGCATGTAACCGCGAATACTTCACAAGACAAAACTTAACTAGAAAATATCAAAGCGAACACCCCTTAAAAAGCTATCACTTCTCTGTAATTGAAAATTGAATAGAATTCCGATCATCAATACCGCTAGAAACTGATTCACAGCTTTTGAAAGCGTATCTATCGCCTCCAACTGTCTGCAATTAATTCTCATTAAAACCATATTAAGTCGGTTATACCCACTAGCCAATTTTAAAAATTTCATCATTTCCTGCCTTTGGTTTTTCTAGTTCGCTTTTTGTTGAAATTTCGAGTAATTCGATTCCAATTGCGAAATCTCGAGCTGTCCGAGAGGCTGACGAGTTTTGGGAGCCATGTGTGAGGAAGGGGAGCCCAGGGGCCATAAATTAACCAGCGCAAAAACTGCGGGGGCATTGATGGGGAATTTAATGAGCTGCGAGTGGGGGATGTGTTTCATAATGCACTCGATCAAGGGTTTATCTCCCCACTAAGTCCAATTAAACGATAGTTGGACAATCGACGCCACAGGCCAATTTGCCTCGAAACACTTGCCCCGACAAATTGAGGAAGCGGGGCGTTTGAAGCTGACAGTAACGGCCAGCAGTAGATACATTCGCAGATACAGAGATACAGATACAGATACAAGGCAACAGCTGTGCAAAGCGTGGCCAAAAAGCCAGAAAGAGAGGCAGCTAAGTAAACAGGGTAAAACCGAAAAGAGTCAATGCACCAGAGCCGCAGATTGGGTAATATTTTAGACAACTTGGGGAAGGCGAACCTGATTGCATCGGGAATTGGATGCAGGACCCATAAAACTTCCCCAGACGCGAACAACTTTATCCAGCGGTATTCTGCTGCCCAGATTTTTCCCAATAAAAACTATATTTATAGCTTCGCTGCGGACCAGAACAAACCGAAGCGAAAACATAATTAATGGATCAGTGCCTCGGAATTATGTGAGTTTAATGGTTGTGTAATCTGGAAATGCATTTCCCATCACGCAGCGCAGCATCAAATAACATGCCCCTAAATGGAATTGTTTCTCCACTTGACTGGGGACGGGGAAGTGGATGGTTGTTGGTGGTGTATGCTATATGGCTGTATGGGATCGGATCAGCCGCAAAGCTTTCCGTTTGATAATGCATCATTCGATCACGCGGCGACGGCGGTGGCGGCATTTTTCAATTAGTGCCGCTCGATCCGATCCCAGCCAAGCTCCCATATGCACTCAGACAAATGGGCTTTAAACATCCATAAAAATAGATGATTTGCTTTAAAGGGAACCATATTTTGTAATATACATATGTTTTTCTAATAAAAACAGCTAATAAATTAGATTTTCTTCTGTAAACCCCTTCTATGATACGAAGTTAATATTTGCTTTTTTTTTTTCTGTCTGTATTGGGTTTCGTATAACTAATTTTTAGTGGGGGCGCGGGCCTTAGTTTTTCAGTCGAATGACTCCTCCCGTAGAACTTTGTTTCAATCCGCTTCGTTTATTTGCTTTGGCTCATTAGCGTTTGGACTCACGTTTTCCCAACGGAGACGTGATCGGGCAGGCCGTCTCTATCTTCTGGATCTGCCCTCCCTTTCTTCGGTTGGGGTGCCGTGCATTTGGGGCACTGCACATCCAACACTTTCCCATGTGGCGGGCGGAATGAAATTAACCCCGAGTGCCACTTGACTATCATAAAAATCCGAGGCGATAAGCAGCACTCGACTGTCTATTTATGGCCAATCGTTTGTTTTGTTTACAAATGAGTACTTTGCCATAAAAACGGAAATTGAAGAGGCAACATCTTATCTAGGCAAACTGTATAGGCATATCTTCCCAGTAAGAAACCCATATTTACCGAATACGTTTCTAAGATTTTTATCGCTCGGCTTACATTAAGTAAGTTCAAGGTAAACACAAAATATATTCCTCCTTAATTTTACTTATTATCACAATTGATAAGACGTGGCTCTTTAAACAAACAACCGAAAGGGAAACAAAGCGGGATCGAAATAAACATCTGTACTTATCACCTCGATAGTTTCTCGATTTCTTGCTAAAACAAATCAGTTGTCAAACAAATCGGATATTAATTTCCTGATCATATTTAACAAAACACCAGTATGTATTTGCAAGTTGAATAATCAAACTGCTGAAATCGAGACTAATCAGTTTCTGTGGAAGCACTGAATGCACTTTTCCAGCTCGATTAACTTTTATTAATTGGCTCTGGGCAGACACGCTTCCCATTTAATCGCAAGTCAAGGCCTGGCAATAAAACAAATTGCAAACTAATTTCGTTTTCATTTCGCGCCCATCAAATGGCACCGCCAAAAGAAATTTGCCACGGGCCACAACGAATGAGGAGTAGATAGACGAGATACAAGCACTAATTATGCAAATTCATTGAAAACGAAAGGCATTCTCCAACAACTTGAAAATTTGATTCGCTCCGCGTTTGATTATTCATTAGCTGCGATTTCTGGGATTACACGATTTGAGGGGGAGTTCACCTCAACTGGCATTATGCAACATGGCTCGGAAATGTTTGAATAAACAAATTCAAAAATCGGAAATAAATTGCCGGAGGCAAGCTCTTTAATTTTCATTGATTTACTCTTTCAATGAGCTTGCCTTTGGATGCTTATGCAAATGGTGGCCTGATTCGGGGACCTTGAACCTACAGACAATAGACATTAAACACTTGATAATTAAAATTGACTAAGTCAACAAAATTTGGCTAAAATTGCTAAAGCGAGTCGGACTTAAAACTGGAAAACAAGAAAAAACCAAAACAAAAGCGGCTGCTTTTGGGATAAAGAGAGAGAGAGAGAGAGAGAGAGAGAGAGAGAAACAATGGAGTATAAGTTCATTCAAACACGAAAACAACAAATAAATCTGGACAAGAGCCGGTCAGCAACAAAAACAAGAAAATCTCAACTAAAATCTGCGACGCTAAGCCGCGATACAGTCAAATAAACTTGTTGAACTTATAAAATATTATTTTATGGTAACTATGCAGTAAATGATATTTTAAATAAATATTACTAGTTTACCACTTAATACTTAAAATGTTAAATGATTTTATTTCGTTCTGACAACTAATCTTTTTTTACTATTTTACACCCCTATTACTCTCAGTGCATCTTAGTCGGCAAAGGTGAATCAGCAAATGTTTGAATGGAAACAAAACATTTTACAGTTTTTTCGGCTGTTTGTGTGCAGCAGGTAAGACAAGGAGAGCAGGAGTGAGAGAGAGATGGAGTTGGGCAGATGGAACCCTTGGCAAAAAACTAAAGGAACTTGGAAGTCAATGCAAGTCTCTTATAATTTGTACGAACCTTTAGATGTGAGCAATAAAAGCCGCTTTCCGCCGCAACTTGCACTTGCACTTTCAATTGCCAGCAATTGTTTACGCCAATTGAGAGCCGAACGAGCTTAAGTTCTCTTTTCACTTCTGGCAATGACGAACGACGCCTTAAATTAGCATAAAAATATTGCAATTGGAAAATTACGAGTTTTTAAACCCTAACCGGCACAAAAGGGCGCGCGATCACGAGAGGTAAAAAAATAAATAAGACACTGGGGACACGTACGTATAACACTTTTAAACCGTTGTATAATTACTAGCACAAAATAAATGAATACTCCGATATATTTTTCCGGCGCGGAACTAAAGTCTAAACCTCTTCTTGATATGTTTAATAAACAAAACACGGAGAACGAATCCGCGCGCGTCCGAGTCAGCTGGCGTCGTTTTTTGTTTAACAAACCACAAACAGAGTAACCGTGCGGCTGTATTTGAATTATCCAAGGAATGGTGTTAACGTGCTTGAAACTTCTTCGGCGGCCATGGTTGGTGACTCGGCTAGCCCCCTTTTTTAACAGAAATGTTATATGTAACAGAATTGAAATGCTGTTGATGAAGAGACAGGGGTTTACTTAGAGCCCCAACCAAGTTGGCAGCACTGACAATCCTCCTCTTTCAACATTGAAGCATAGTTTCGAACCTCAGATTTAAGAACCAGCAATATCATCAACGCAGAACTTATAAGCAAAGCATTGATATTTGTATCTTGTAAACTTAACCATAAGCGGGGATATAGTTTGGATACAACACATCCAGCGGTTAAATTCATGCCGTTAAAACATTAAGTTAGCAAGGAAGAACAGTTAGTGGCCAAACAAAACTACAGTTAGTAGGATTTCCGTCAACTTTATTATACTCTTTATTTACTTTGTTCATCGGCTCTTTGGCATCTCGTAAAAATATATTGTGGCATAAGTCATTCAAACAAGTTGTCGATAAAATATACATTTCGTGTTTTGCTTTGTGTGTATATCAGTTAATTAGTTTCTGCACAAACGGTAGTTAGCAATGCAAGTTTAAACTTAGTTTCTAGTTCTTTACAAAATCTTTCGGTTGAAGAAGCTTGTAAAAGGGTCTCTGTTGCTGCAACATCTGTGGCTGCTGCTGCTGCTGCACCAGCAATATTGGCCGAAGTTGCTGCTGCACCTGCAACACTGGCCGATGTTGCTGCGGCACCTGCAATATCTGTTGCTGGCGTTGCTGTTGCGGCTGCTGGGGACGTTGCTGTGGCCGCTGGCCCAGTGGCCAGTAGTAGCTCCTTGCCACAGGCTGCACTCTGCGTAGGAATCTTTTCGTTCGAGTGCGGAAAATGGTTTAATCAGAAGCGAGAGTCTTTTTTCGGCAAACGAACACAAGGTTTGGTGTGGAGGATGCGGAGACACTTACAAATGGTCGATACAAAACAGTGACTAGCTAATGTAAACTCCTTCTCAACTCTGCGTTAATTGTAAATATTTAGTTTCACTTTTGGGAACCAGTCTTGAGAAGCACACACATTTGATGCATGTATGGCGCTGTCTAAACATTATGTAGGTATATTATGTATACACGAGTATAAAACCATGATGCTGGGGATCGAGGATCGAGGCGCACTAACGAATCTCTCGGGGATTGGTTAGTAGCTGGGGTTAGTGCACGAGCACACGGAGCACAGGACTCGCAAGCTGGACGTGGATGACCAGGACTCACCCATCTGGCTGGTGTGGCTGCTGCTGCTGCGATTGCTGCTGCTGTTGCTGCCGGCGACGTCTGGCCACGGCACTGTTCTTGATGATGGCCTCGATCTCGCGACCTCCCGAACTCTCGCCCTCCGAGGCGGAGGCGCAGTTCCCGGCTGCATCTTCGCCGGCCGAAGATCGAGGTTGGCCCAAGGTGGCGAGGTTCCTCACCAGGCTCACCGCATCGTCGTGCTTCGGCGTGGAGTTCTCCTTGGACACATTCCTCAGGATCTGCGCCAAGTTCCGCTGCGGGTTGTCCACCTCGTCGCTGGTCTTAGTGGCGTCTGCCGTGGTGGCGGACTTCCGCAGATTGGAAACCGTGGCATGGGTGGACCGCTTGAGGCGGTTCTTCAGCTCCGCATTCAGGTCCACGGGCATCAGGCCGCGTCCCATTCCGAGCATGGGTTTTCCAGTCTTGAGGATGCTCTTCAGTGGTTCGGAGCTGGTTTTCGCTATGAAATACAAGAGATTTCACACCATTAGATCACATTCAAAGGTATGCGGAGATTGTGCCTATAAAGTGGGAGAGTAAGCAGCAAATCAAATTATAAACAAGGCAAACAACATGCTCAGTCAATCATGCTTGCAATACTCACTCAGTCTTGGTATTCCCTTTGAAAATCGGGCTTCTTTAGCACATTTCTTGGATTTATTTTCTCGGTTTAACAACTTCCATTAAATATTACAGTAATAATAATAAGTGTAATACATACTCATCATAATATAATTCCGTTTAAGGTACAATTCGTTTTAGGTGTAAATAAAAAGTAGTGTTCTATGTATAAATAAGCACAAAGCAGTTTCGCATAGTGTTATAGTAGGATTATAGTAGGGTTAACTGGAAGGTCTTACTGGCCATATACTCGCTATATTTCGTTGGCCTTTGGGATAAAGATAAAACTGTCTCTTGGTTTAGATACAAAGCCTAACTTCCCAGCTCGCTTCTACACTTCGACTTCGATTTCGTTTGACATTTCTGTGGGCTTTCGATTCGTTTCGTTCTGTTTGTTTTACTTTATTGGATTGGGAACTACGAGACTACTACAAATGGTTGGATCAGTTTGGGGTTTGGAGTGGGAGGGGTTCGGGCGCATCTATCACACTGAGCGCGGGACCCACACGAAGAGAGCGAATTTTCGGGTTCGGAATGGAGTGGTTTGGGTGGGTTTTCTTGAAAAATTGGGAAATTTTGAATGCTTGGCCAAAATGACAATTTTTCAGCCCAGGAGCTCCCCGTAGAGCAGCTTGAAGTTCCTGCCGGCCGCGTGCAGCTCGGCGGGCGTGACCTCGATGTCCTCGAAGCTGGAGATGCTGGAGACGCTCGCCGGGTGCCTGCTGCGCCGTCCGATGGGCGAGTGGGCGCGCTTGGGACTCGGCATGGCCGTGGGGCTGGTGCAGCCGCTCGAGTAGTGGTCCATGGAGAGGGGCCGCGTCCGCTTGAGCAGCTCCCGCCGCTTGGAGACCACCGTGCTGATCGGCGGCAGGCGCACGTGCGCGTTGGTGGCCTCCACCTGGCTGCTCGGCGGCGGGGGCAGCGACTGCGTCTTCAGCAGGGTGGTGGTCGAGCTGAAGCTCTCCCGCACCCCGAAGTACTTGGCGAAGCGGTCGTCCACCGTGGGCGACCTCGCCGAAACGGTGACCGAGGTGATCTCCGTGGTGTGCCTCCGGTTGACAGGCTGCGGCTGCGGCTGCTGCTGCTGCTGCTGCACCAGTCGCGTGATCTTCCTGCGCATCTCGGACACCCGCGGCGGAGCCCGCTCCTCGTCCTGCGGCAGCTGCTGCTGCAGGTGCTCCTGCTGGTTGTTGGAGGCGCAGTTCTCCTTGCCCGAGTCCGACCCGCTGTCGCTGGTGCCGTTCGACTGGCTGAGCTTCTCCGGGTGCAGCTTCTCCTGCTGCTTCTCGATGAACACGGACTTCACCTTGCCGATGCTGCGCACCTGCACCGAGAGGTTGACGGGCTCCAGCGTCTGCAGCTTGACCATGCAGCTGCTCCAGCTCTTGCTGCCTCTGCTGCTGCTACTGCTGTTGCTGCTGCTGGTGGAAGTGGTGTTGTTGTTGTTGCGGTCGCCGCGGAAGGTGTCGGGCAGGATGAGCTTGCCGATGGTGCGCACGTTGACTCGCAGGGGCGTGGTGTTGTTGGTGTTGGCTCCTCCGCTCGGCGGATCGGTGGCGGACCTGCTCAGCACATGGAAGCCGTTCTGCAGGGTTGGCTCCTCCTTCCGCCTCAGCTCAACCCCCTCCTGCTGCTTCTCCTTAGGGTCCTCCTGGTCCGGCTCGATGATGCTCTCCAGGGTGAGGCTGGAGGGCTCCTTCTCGTGCGGAATGGGCGAGTAGTCCATGGGCGTGGGCGTCACGCTGGCGCTGCTGGCGGTGGTGCTGCTCCGCGGAGTGGTGCGGTCGAAGGGCGGACTCCTCGAGTAGCTGCTGGTGCGGCTGCGGTACTTGCTACCGCCTCCGCTGCCGCCGCCGCCGCTCTCGCAAAGGTTGCTGAAGAAGGCCAGGCGCTCGGCCAGCGAAAGTGAGGAGGGTTCTAGATCGAGTTGGGATTGCAGAGATTAGTTTCTGTTTCTGAAGGGTTATCCTTGTGGCCTTTGAACCACTTACGCATTGCCTTGCTCAACCTGCGATGGAGTCTCACTTTGGATTTGTAGTATCTAAACCTAAACACTTATTGCTGCTGCTGCTGCTGTGGTTGCTTTGGTTTGCTGTGGTTTCTTTGGGAGGCGGCGACTTACAAGACGAGCAGACGAGCTGCGCATTCGGTTATATCCGCTGCCCACACTCGAATGTTGCCGCTGCCAGCAGCGATAATGATACACATTTCCCTTTGCCGCTCTGTGCTCTACACTCTACACTATCATTTCAGCCGCCTTTATCAAGCACTAAACAACCGAGCGACCATCTCACAAAAGATGAGTTACCCCGCGCAACTGAATCATAGAAAGTTGTCTGCCGTTTACAAAGCAATTTCTATAATTCGCCACTTTTTGCGCTGCCTTTCGTCTTTCGTCGCTCGATTTTCATTTCGTTTGAAACTTTCGATATTGGTTCTTCCACAACGCTTTCAATTGATATGAACTCCCTTTGTGAGCGTTTGAGTGACTTTTTACGAGTGGGTGCAACTGATAAACGAGTTGCATGCTATGGAAAATTTGTAGAGATGTTTTGAACTAGAAGGAAAGGGCACTAAGTATGAAAGTTAGTTTGAGGATAAGCTCATTGCAGGAATAAAAAAAAAGGGATCCACAACAGGGAGATCTTGAAAAAGATCTTACTGACTTTAAATACGTTTTAACTGCATTTGTTCTTTTGTTTAATTTAAACCTTTGTGTATAGTAAGCAAAGGAAGAAATGCAACCAAAACAAATTCAAGCACAATAAGAAAATATTTAAGATTAATTACCATGGTTTATATTAAACAAAGGAACAAATGCAGTTTAATTTAAACATTTCTGCATGGTAATTGTATATTTTGCTGGCGTCTATCAAGGTCAGCGACATTCCCCCTTATCGGTAACAAATTTTACTGCCCTCTCTTCGAGCCAAACCACAAAGAAGTTGCCTGAACAATTTACGCTCCCAGCTTTTGGCCATAAAACGGACCGATAACCGACGGAGGAAAAGGGTTACCTCGGCTTCACCCATTTTCCAAGTGGGTCAGGGGTTTGGATCACTTTCGAGGAAGAAACGATTCGGGTGGCCATAAAATTATGAACGGATAATTAACTGCGCTAAAGACCCCGATGGAAATGTGGCAAATAAATAAGTGTGGAAAGGTAAATCACGCGCGTCTTAAATTACATAAACATACAGTTGTGGGGAATAATAAATCGTTATTAGTTTTCTCATGCGGCAACAACAACATCAATAAAATAAAACAAGTCAAAACGGCAGAGGCAGAGGCAACGGCAACAACAATAACAATAACAAGGAGTTAATTCATTTGTTAGAAAACTCAAACTGGCGTAAATAATGAAAAAGTCGTAAATGAAAAACCGATGAACGCACATGCATGGAAAACCAAATTAGTGTGTGATTTGTTTTTTCTGCTCTTTTCCATTTCTTTCGTTGCGCAATTTCGCCTGGTTGCACTTTTTTTGCATTTTTTGCCACTGAATTTTACCGGCCACTGCTAATTTGTTCGAGTTAATTATAAATTAGTCTCAGGCGAGTCAATCAAAAGTATACAAATATGTGTGAAAAGAAAACACAGACACAGTAAGCAACAACAATAAATATCTGGTATGAACTATATAGGTTTTATCATTCCAAAATGAGCATCGTGCAAGTCAAACAAAACGTAAGAAGGGCGAATGGGAAAGGTGCGGTGGTAACTCGAATGGATGGATGGTTAATCCTTTCCAGCTGATCTCCAGTTACCACCCACCTCCCCTGGAAACCCATTAGCAAAGAGTTACTCACCGAACTCCGCATCCATCGTTGCATTTGGCGTGGACAGCTCGTCACTCTGCAGGGAGTTGTCGGCGGCAGTGGAGGAGACCTCGGCTGAAGCTGGAGGAGATTGACGGGAGGCTCCTGAAACGGACAATTTGCACACTTGTATTCCATTGTTCCTCTGGTAGGAGTACGAGTAGTACTCAATAGTATTCATCTGCGGACCTAAGCACCTCGAACTAACGAACAAAAACTAACTATTTTCTAAAATCCCATTCTGGCTAAAATCGGAGGATGAATATGACGAGTATGATTGTGATTGTGTTTGTGGCTGTACTACAAAACAGGCACTAGATTGGCAGAGTTCTCCAGGGGGGGATAGTTACTATTTGATATTACACGATTCCGATTCGGTGTCGATAGCGAACGCCTAATCTCGAGTGGCCTGCTCCGAGGAGCTCCCCTCACCTGGCCACAAATGAAGCCGAGTTACCCAACACGCGGGCCTCAATTAGCCGCTGATTTCCAGAGTGCGGGTGAGTGCGAGTGTGGGGCAAGTGACACACATTTCACAGCTTATTAACTTGGCCAACAGCCATGAGAGGCTTACAGCAACAGCAGCACCGGCTAATGGCGAAGTCTGGCAAACACTCTGGAAAAAGCGACACTCGCTGACCGGCAGGGACTTGGCTAATTAAAATTCGCAAAACGAACTATACTATATGGGTTTTGCTGGGCATCTTGAAAGGCTAATAAACAAATGTTAACTGTTTGCTTTGCAGTTATCTGTAGTTGGCCATAAAACATCCTCTGCCTATTATTTACCTGTTATTTACTTGAGTGGATATTTTGATTTATTATTGGCTCTAAAATACTCCTTATCTAAATAAGTTTTAAAGGCTAACTGGCAGGGTTCCTCTTACTATTTCCTAAAGTTTTGTTATTGGGAAACCATAACCATGTTTTATGATGAATAATTCGCAACCAAAGAAAATGATGGCTGGTTACTCAGCATATTAGTGCTGCTAGTTCTATGGAAAAGTATTGTGGCCCTAGCCCTACTCAAAGTTGCACTCTAACTCTACTCTAATCTGCTCCCATTCTGGTCTTGGCCACCGTGGTCTTGGCCTTCTTGTTACGGTCCGCTTGCGACATTCGCCAACGAAGTTCGCAGTGCCAGCGGTTGAACTTAGCGGTCGCTGCTCGTCTGCTTTATTGCCCCATGCCCCATGCTAATTTCTGCAACCCAGCCAACGGTGATGATGCCTCATTATCATGGGTGAGTGGGGGATTGGGAGATAGGGGATCCCGACCTACTATAAATTCGTACTAACCCGTTGCCCGTTGAGTGCGCGACTGCTCCTGCAGTTGCTGGAACATATTGGCCCTGGCCCGAACACTGTTGCTCCGCGTCAAGCCACTTGGTGGTGTCGCGGTTGAAGTGGCTGCTGTGGCGGTTGAGGTTACTGCTGCTGTGGCTGATGAGTTCGCGGATGCGGAAGCGGCTGTCTCGTCGCCCAGCGACTGGATGGCCGAGTCCTCCTCCAAGGCGGACATCTCGAAGATGTGCTCGCTGTCCGTGCCGATGGACAGGGTCAGCTGCTCGCTGAGATTGACGCTGTCGTTCACCGAGTTTTGGCGGGCCAGCAGGGAGGATTGTGACTGTGGCGAGCCACCAGCAGCAGCCTGACTGGCCAAGTGGACCACTCGGGGCGACTGCAGCGGTTGGGTGGAGCTGCGGGCCAGCCGGAAGGAGGATCCCGCTCCCGCTCCCGAGTTCGTCGACGAGGAGAGCAGCAGGGGGGCGGGCACGTGGCTCAGCGGTTGGCCGGTGATCGGGGAGATGAGCGGTGCCTGTGGTGCCTGCGAAGCGTGGGTCAGGCGGATGTCCAGTGGTTTGGTGGGCTTGAACGCCGACGTGGCCGAGATGTCGAACGGCGCGAAGTTGGCTTTAAAGCTGCAAGGTAGAATATTAAAGCAGTATCAGTAAACAGCATCATAAATAATAATGCAATACTAAAGAATCAGTTGATAAATTATCACAATTCATTCATGACAAATGTCATGAGTACTTTGTAAAATAAAAATCCGATTTAAAAACTCTCGCTTTTTCCCGCGTGCTGAAATTTACATAACAGTGGGCCTAAATACACTGTGAATCTCTTTGTGAACCTTCACCTCTGTCGTTCCCTCCAGCTGACAACAATACTCGGACATAATTATAGGCAATTTTGGCCAACTTAATTATGTTTTGGTGGTGAAACTTTGCGCCGCCGGCTGATGGCTTTGTTGATTCGGCTGGAGCCTCCGGGGGAGCGAAGGTAAAAGTTTACAAGCTCGCCGATGGCCAAAAGAATTAGCCAAACGATTCCGCAATAAAACGCCAGCAGTGAAAGGTAATTGAATCGATGATAAGAGGGGGAATGTATACCATACCACTGCAGCCACTGTATATTTTTCCACACAGACTCTTCCATTAGCTCGCAAGTTTATCACCCTCTAAAAAACCTCTTGAGATTCCGCTCTATATTTAGTGCCTCACCTACAACTTGTTCGCCTCTCGACTTTTTCCAATATTTGTTTTGTTTATCAGGCCCATTTTCCATGCCTGGCGCACAGGGAATGTAAAAAGAGGAAGCGGAAAATACAAAACCTAAAAATACGCAACATTTTGAATGCAGCAACTAGCTGAAGCTAATTGGATTTGGGGGCGGAAGGGTGGAAAATCCGTGAGAATTCACTCATTCGGCGTTCAGCTGTCATATATCTCGAAAACAAATCGTGATTAGAGGCAACAGTTGCCGAGAATAATAAAAAACGTACGACACCAGATTGCGAGTGATCTAATCGAAAGGAGCGTGGTCATCAGCCGTATATATACTCTTAAAGAACCGATTTCGATCTTGCCAACTCAGTCCACATATAGCCAAAAAAAAATTATATATTTAAAATGAGTTAATGCAGACATTGGCACTGCTGCTCAATGTATAATTTGAATACTTTTCGCAAATTTTGCACGATTTGTGGCACTGAAAATTGGAATTTTCGTTTGGCTGCAAAGTGCACATTTCCATGGAACTTATTTTTAGCACATTACGAAATATGTATTTCAAGAAACGCGTATTTTCACGCCGAATTCCCAAGTTTTTTCGGGTGTTTCTCTCGAAATATCAGGTTGATTTACTACCTTTTCTAATTCACACGCGGTTTGTGAGCCCGTCAACCGGCAACTGGGCAAGAATTTGGGAAGGGAACGTGGTTTTCCTTCCACCAGGCACACATGCGATATAGGGAATATACTATCTGGTTCTTCACCTGATAAGAAAACGACCGAACGACCGAACCGCGCAGCGATTTACTTGATAAATTTATCAGTTAGTTTCGATTTTTCCACACTCGATTCACTATTCACTATTTGCTCTTCCCTCTTCAAGGGAACAAAACTATAGTTTGCGATATCTGTTTTTGTTTTACGTAAAATACAATTTATATTTCAGCGCGCTGCTGGCGGATACGTGAAAATTGAAAAAGCGATCGCGAGCAACTGAGCGCAAAAATTGTACAAACAAAACGTCGGGCGAAGAGCGTCCGTCGGCAGAGGAGAATTGGGTGGTGCGGTGGCTCGGTGGTGCTCTGCCGCGGCCGGCGTCGCTGTCGGCAAATTTAAATTATTTTCAGCTTTGTTTTCTGCCTTTTTATTGCCCGTGCTTAATATTTATTTTGGTATGGTATTTCCCTGCTTTTCCGCCGTCCAACTGGGAAAATGGGAAATGTCTTCGTTGGCTTTTCTTTTGCGGTGGATTTTCTTCGACTCTTCACGAAGTGAAAGAGAAATTTTGGTTGGGATCGAAGAGCATGCGGGAATCGTTATTCAAAAAAGCTGTTTTTTAGTTTTGATATTAAAAGATAAGGCAACTTTTTCAAATTTATTTAAACAAAATATATATGATTCAAAAAGTTCCATTGATTTTTTCCCTGTCATTTTGAGTTCTGTTTGGAAATACTCGAATGTTTCGTTGGGACTTGTGAATGGGCCGAAGTGTGACACAAATGACTTATTTATAGACCAGACAGGTATTTCTCAATGGCAGCATAAAATAATTACTTGGCCCGTAGGAAACCAGCAACGATTTCTCCATTATGTTTTTGCTTTGACACATTTACGATCAGACTATTTAATTTATTCTTTTTTATACCCTTGCTGAGGGTATTATAAATTCAGTCAGAAGTTTGCAAGACTTTATAAAAATATATACTTTTGATTAGCATCACCACCTTAACCAATCTAAACATGTATGTCTGTCCATCTGCAAAGGTTTAAAGCTTTCTTTCCTATTTAACCACCAAATTACTGAAAGGCAAAGTCTCATTTGTGGCTGACTAACAGCTGCTTTTCGGTTGGTAATCTTATCGGGAGATTGGGACAGATACAGCATAACTCCGAAGTGGGCATATATGAGCCGTATCGATTTGATCGGCCAACACATGTCGGCGTGCACTTTTTACTACCTCAATGCCAGCGATTATTGTTGGTTCTTCTAGCTTTCGCTTTTCAGCTGAGTTTTAGTTCGATTTTTGGCGGCCCTGTTACCGCTGTTACCGTTTTCTGATGTACGCCTCGAACATTTTTTTCGCTCTGACGTCGCTGCAGCAGCAACATGGAAGGAACGACAGCCGGAATCCTCTTCCTTGTACCTCTGAGATACGAAAGTATCTGTATCTGTATCGCAACGCGTTCGCCCGCTGCAAGCTACCGAATGCAACTGGCGAATATGACCACGGGCTCTGAATGGAACGAAGGGAACAGCAGCGTATGGGCAGCATAAATTTCACGGCTCTGAGCGGCGGCAAAGTGCAAAGATATAGATATTGACAATACCGTTCGCCGAATGCTGAATGGTGAATGCAAATGTGACAGCCAGCGAGAGTGTGAAAAGACAAAAGCCGCACAACAGAACAGCTCACAGCAACAACAACTGGCTCACATTGTTACTCATATTGTCGGTTGGATTTTTTCAGCTTTTTGGGAAGGGAGTGCCGAGTGGAACAAAAGACGGACGCCCGAAAAATAAGGCAACCATAATAACAGCAGAACAGAACACTCACCGGCAACAAACAACACATAAAACGCTGACATAAAAACACAGTTAAACAAGAACTGCAGGTGGAAATAAAGGTGGAAGTGGTGAAGAAGTGGAAGAGGTGCTCTATCTCTAGTCGAAATTCGAAATTCTAAAATGCTTTTAGCGAAGAAACTAGGTTTACGAGCCCGACATTGGCCAATCCGCAATTCGCAGAAATTACCCATCCGTCCCAGGTGAGAATTCGTGGCCAACAAGTTGGGAACAACTAATTGTTTGGGAACGATGCTAAGCTAAGATAGTGCCTAATGGCGGTCGATTTGGTTGCGCTTCTTGGGAGAACCAGTGGTAATCAGATATGCAATTGTTAGCCTTTCGTGTTTTCTACCTCTCCACCTCAAGTCGCAATAAATCGTATCTCTGGTAATTTGTAATTGAAGTTAAGTGATTCGATTATTCATGAAAGAAGAATACCATGTATGGTTGGCAAACAACTATTGCAAATTGACAGACAAACAGATCTATGCGATATTCGCAACTTATTTCTGCAAAGCAACCGACCTTCCATAATCGCCCGAGCATTACTAACCTTTATTTGTATTTCGCGCACTCGCGGGTTCTTTTGGCCTCAATAGTTGGTGTAGTCGGTGCGCAGGTAATTAGGCAAGCAATAAGCTGCTTAAGTGACACCAACAGCAGCCAACGGCGGGTCGGCCAATAAATTAAGGCGGCGGGGAAAAGTGAATTATACTTGTGTGACAGCGAATCGAATTGGGGTCAGCGGCCATGGAGCATGGTTTCCATGGCTCCTCGGAAGGCAGAATTCCCATTTGTTTACACAGATGGAAAGGCAATTAAAGCATTGCCAAAATATCCCCTTTGGCAAAATGTGCTGAACATTTCATCAGAATCGCATCGCAGTCGCCTAATTTATGGCTTCGTGGCTAGCGGAGTATGTCCACATTAAAGTTAATAAAGCCGATCATGACTGGATTATAATGTGGCGTTTGAATGGCCTAACAACTGTGGACTGTGGCGTTTTCCAGTTGACAGTGTTGTGGGCACCGTGATGGTATAAATATTTATAGGCTCGGCCAAGTGCCAGCGAGAATGTGCTCGGCGGACCAAAAATAGCAGTGGATGCGGGTATACAAATATTGCTCCACGCAAACACAGATACAGATACAGATACAGATACAGATTCGGATTCAGATGCGGATTCGGATTCGGGGGCTGGAATTCTTGGGCCGCCGAAGCGTGAACTGGCGTCCGCTGCAGAATCGGTTGACAGCTTGACAGGCCACGCGGCGTATGCGCAATTTTCGGGGGAGAATGTGTCGACTCGAATGGAAATTGGAATCGCATTCGGAATCGAAGTGGTGCCAAAAAGGGATGTTTACAAGGTTTTCCTTTCCACTAATTCGATACTATGAATTACATACTTTATGCAGAATATATCACCCAATAAATCCCCAAGATTTAAAATAATGTTTAGGACTCACAAGCTCATCTCCTCGTTGGTCACGGGCTGCGTCTTGTAGCGCTCCCTCTGCAGATCCCGGCGCAGGACACTCGGCTTGAGGACTCTGGGCGAGGCGGTGGCTCCTGCTTCCGAAGAGGAGGCCTGCAGCGGCGACTCCCAGCTGCCGTTGGCCCCGCCCGCCGCGCGGGAAGTGGGCGTGGCGAGCAGCTCCATGCGCTTCACCCGCTCCGCCACCGAGAGGCTCGTCGGCGTGGTCACGAAGTCCACGGGAGTGCTGGCTGGGCTGGGGGCGGCCTGCGAGGTGGCGATGGCATCTAGTGCGGCGGCCAAGTCCATGCCGGGCTGCACCTCCTGGCGCTCCAGCGAGCGGGTCCGCCGCTTCAGCAGACCGCCGGAGGAGGAGCCGGCGGCGGAGTCCTCCAAGTCCTGCGAGGCGGAGCCCAGCGATCGGCGCTTGGAGGGCGAGTCCGTCTTGAGGATCGAGGAGAGGAGGAGCGAGTCGCCGCCTGAGTCGTGCTCCAGGCCACTCAGGTCGAACTCCTCGCGACTGCTCTTGCGGGAGCTCTTCAGGATCGGGCGGATGATCTCGTGCTCGTCCGCCTCCCCGAACGACTTCTTCTTGAGGATGGGCTTCGGCGGACGCACCGCCTCCTCGCTGGAGGTGCTCTCCTGCTTGAGGATGGGCCTAATCTCGTGCTCCTCGCCGTCCTCGAATCCCGATATCCCGTCGTAGGCGGCCAGCTCGGCGGCTGCCAGGGTGACGGCCTGCGAGATGGAGACGTGCTTGTGGCACCCGCCGTCCGACGGAGTGGACAGCGAGTCCTTCTTCTTGAGGATGCTGTGCGGCTGGCTCTCCGTCGCCGAGGGGCAGCCGTCGCTCTTGCTGCTGTCGTAGCTGCTCTGCTTGAGGATCCCGTGCGCCTGGTTATGGTTCGTGCTCATCCCTGTGCCCGCCTCCTCCAGGGAGTTCCTCCGCGCGGACTTGATCAGGATGCTGCGCTCGTCGGGCGAGTGGGAGCGCGAGTAGTAGCGCGACTCGTCCAGACTGGACCGCTTCTTGAGGATTCCCTGCCGCTTGCAGCGCGCGGCTCCCGAGAACGGGTGGTCCACCACGCTCGAGGAGAAGGTCACCGGCGAGGGGTTGCTCGAGGCACTCGAGTTGCAGTCGGCCAGGCCGTGCTCCTTCTTCTTCAGGATCGACACTATCTGGTTGGGAGCGGGCGGAGAGCTCTGACTGGGCACTCCTCCCACTGCTCCACTTTCGTCTGTGCTCTTCCTGCGCATTATGGCCGCCATCTTCTGGCTCTCCTCCGCCGCCAAGGGATCTGGCTTGCCTGGTGGCACCTCTGACTGCTCGGCGATCTTCTTGATCTCGGCCAGGTCGGTCCTGGTCCGCTCGGTGAACTTCTGGGCGACGCTCCGGGCGGCGGGGGCGTGCAAGGGTCGCGGGGCGGGCAGCACGGCGGACATGGTGCGCACGGGAACCACCGGGTGCCTCACTACTACGGGAGCCACCTGGCGCTGGGTCTCCGAAACGGAGGCGGTGGACTCGCTGCAGGAACTCCTCTGCGGCGTCTGCAGCAGATCCCTCAGGGCCTCATCCTCGCCAGGAACCAGCGGACGGGCCATTCCCAGTTCGCGACGTCGGCGTCGGCGGGTCGAAGAGGCAGCCTCATCTGGAAGAGAAGATCGGATGGTTAGCAGTCACTCAAGTTGGGTTGGGAGTCAGAAAGCAGCCCACTGGACAAACACGTGCATAACATTGAACGGGGAGTTGGCACAGCTTGGATTTTAACATATTTTACACAAGTTCTTTCAATGGAAAAGCTCTCGCGACGCAGCACGAAATGATTTAGGTGAAAGTGTTGCAAGTGATATTTAAGGTGCTGATGATTCTCAGTGAGGTTCGGTGGCAGCCACATGGCGCTCGAAGATCGAAGATCGAATGATTCCGAGTGTGGCTGCTCAGCATCGTGGTAACCTCGTTAGGCGGCCATTCAAGCTTGAAGGCATTCCCAATTTGGAGCCACACTCATCAGATCATCGGATCTAATGATCCAATCCATTCCCATTCATCGTTGGTTCGTCGTTGCTGCAATGCATCCAGTGGAGGCCCACTTACCGCCATCCTTGGTGGCTTCCTCGGTCAACGAACGGTTCAGATTCGACTTCCGCTTGGCCGACTTGTCGCGGTCTCCCAACCGACGAGGTGACACTTCGGGCTACAAATACATAATGTTATTATTAATAAATGATATTAATATTAGCGATCTGGTAAATCCTCACCGTTCTCTTGTGCTTCTGCACGGGACTCAGCTGCAGGTTGGCCAGCGGATCGCGGCGTCCGCTGTCCGCGTTCTCGGTGCTCATGGTGGAGGTGCGCGGTCGCATCCGGAGGGTGCATTCCGCGGAGGCCTTCGGCGGACTCACCGCTCCGCCGGTGAAGTGCAGCTCGCTGAGGCTCTGCTTCATGGAGACGCCCGATCCCACGGCCACCAGGGGCTGGCGTCGCTGGGCGGGAGGCGTGTCCGCCGGCTGGGAGGCAGACCTCGCCGGGATCCTGCTCGGAGTGGCCTGGTTGGCCGGGTTGCTAGCTGGCTCCGAGGTGAACCCGCAAGCACCTGGCGACTTGGGCGACAGCTCCGAGTTGCTGAGCCTCCGCTGGCTTACAGCTGCTCCGTTGCTGGAGGCCCTCGGGGATGCGGGGGAGCTGAAGCGCTGCCGCTGCTCCTCTTCCTTCTTTTTATCTGCGGGTTGGGTGGCAAAAAGGGGAAACGCACACGATATTGAGGGTGATGAAATGCGGGCGCCAACAGAGAAAAACGAATAACAAATAATATTTCCTACTATAAAAATGCTAATTTACTACTTAAAAAATGTTACTACTAATGAGAGAAGTTTTTTAAATATTTGTACTTAAATATAGAATTTGAAAAGAAATGATTTGTAATAATACCAAATGCAGTTAATTTTTTTATGAACCAATAACAATTTTGGCATTATGGAATTAATTTTGGGTTAGGTATTCTCTGGAGGAAAGATCACCGAAAAATGAAACTTTTTTATGCAATATGAAATGGAGTTAGTAAAGTACAGAGATTCTATATTTCTGAACCCAAGTTTAAGGAAGTATATTTGTTGTAGATTTGTAAACCTTTTTTCTCTGTGTGTTACCAACACAAATGCACACGAAACAAACTACTGCGGCTAGGGGTTAACTACGGGGGTTGTAGATTTCGATTCTAGATTGTAGATTCTAGAGGGAGGGGAACCTGGTGACCTCCACTAGTTCGGAGTGCGGGGGGTTAAGAGATAAGGTTGGGGGGACTCACCAAGGGCGGCGGCTCGCAGGCGACTCGCCTTGGTGGTGCGCACCGCTGGCGAGGATTGGGGCGAGGTGGTCGAGGAGGAGCAGCTGCCGCCGCTGAGGAGCGGACTGGCAACCGACTGCGGAGGAGCAATGGTGGACTGGCTGCCGAGGCGCAGCGGCGACAGGGGATTCTTGCGACGCTTAACGGGCGAGCCAGCAGCAGATGTTGCTGCCGTGCTGCTGGATGTTGCTGCTGTTGCTGTTGTAAGCGATGCTGCTGCAAGTGATGCTGCTGCAGATGTGGCTGTCTTAAGCACAATTAACGGCGCTTTGTTGGCATTAGCGAGGGGCGGCATGGGCGTGGCGTGTTGCTGTTTAGTGTTGTTGTTGCAAGTGCTGTTGTTGCAGTTGCTGCTGCTGTTGTTGCTGTTGCGCTGCCTCGCGTGGCAGTTGTTGTTGCTGCTGTGGCTGTAGGTGCAATTAATACTGCATTTGCCAGCTTTTCCTCGGCTTTGGCTGTTGGCTGTTGTTGCATTTTGATGTTTGGGTTTGGTTTTTTTTGTTTTGTGTGATTTCAAGAGGGTAAAATGCGTGGAGTTTGTTGTTTTAGTAAGACATTAAAGCTTATGATTGCCGCTTGTTGTGGTTGCTGCTGCTGCTGCTGTGTCGTTTCTTTTTGTGTGCGTGAACGGTTGTCGATTGCATAATGCAAATATAAGGGGGTCTGGGAGAAAAACTCAGCTCAGCTCAGGCCAACTCAATCCAATCTAATGGCTGGCTGGCTGGCAAAGATTGATTGGTGTGGTGACAAACACGAAATAGTTGCGAAAGTCGTTTGGGACAAAAGAAAAGCATTAGGCCGAAACGAAAGTTTCGAGCCGATCTCGGGTCATTAGGTCTCCATTTAACGATGATGTATTAACTCTGTCCACATTATTGGACGTTAAACTGACAAAGCGGCGATTAGATTATCGTCCAACGATTAGATTTCGCTCACAAATAAACCAGAATTTACGACTCTTTCAAGTGTGGGAACTTTTGGAATGTGGACATGACTGTTCAACATTGTTTATACAAGAATATTATACTACAATGACTGTAAATAGTAGTCGTTTTTACGTACTACACAAATCTCCCCGAGATTTTAGACTCTGCCAAATCAAAACGGTTCAAAGCGCTGTAATCCGTAATCCATCTCAACCTTGTTTCGGCCCCCCAAAAGATGTGGCCTTTGTGAAACCCAAGCGATTTCGTAATCCGAAAGAAATGGGGAACCGAAATCTTTTTGACTTTTTGGCAAATCATCCGCCAGCATCTCCGGAATCTGGCCGTTCATTGCCTTCTGTCTTCTGCCTTCTGCTGCCTGTCAAAGATCAGTGAACGCTCTAAGCTCTCTGGCGATCTGGCGATCGTTGGCCCTCTAGACGGCGCGCAGAAATCAAATTAATTCCGCATAAAGCGAGTCAAAATTGCCAAATTGGTGAATATTGAAATCAATACGCCCAGCGGGAAAACAAAGAGCGAAAACAATTGAATTCCAGCCAATGCCCGGATCGATCATCGTAGTTGTTTATTGGTTTTCGGCAGCTGCGCGTTGCGTTCTGTGTGGCCAGAAGAAACGCTGGCTAAGACTTTCCGATTAAACGGAAACTTCCCATAGCCACGATGGCCATATGCCATGCGATATGCAGATCTACGATCAACGATCTCTGGGAAGACTTTCTCGAACGCCAGCAAACCGTTACAAAAGAGATACGCGGCGACTGTCAAAAATTTATGAAACCCTTGTCCGTTTGTCCATTGATAATAAACCCGATTCCGATTCCGATCCGACCCATTCATTGATAAATAAAATAAAAATTGGGCACAGCCCGTCGAAGACCGGGTTTCGGCTGGGATCTATTAGCGATTTTATGGCATCTTTCCCCTGCCTGAGTTGCGTGAAGTCTGGGCATCGATTTTATCAAATGACAAACAATTTTATTCATTTATACGCAAGAGTTTTGCAAATCAAAATAAAAAAGTCATAATGCGAATAAAAATTGCGAAAATTGTCTTATGTAATTCGGGCTGTTAGACTTTTCTGACATATGAGAAAACCTCGCCAGTCAAAACATTTTGGATTTGAAATTGATCGACTCGATTCGAGTTGCTCAATTGCAATTTAATTTAAATGTTTCGGCCGAAGGTCTCATGAGCCAAATTAACATTTGTCTAGAAAACGCTTTGCTTGATTGGCAAGCCGACAAAAATCTAATTTAGTTTAAATTGCTTTTAAGTGTGCAAAAGAAACGAAACGAGACGAGAAACCGGCGACTCGCCTCTTCCGATGATGGAGTTCGAGTTGGCTCCGTTCCGCGGCTAATTTGCAGAAAACGTTGACAGGCGCGCGGTTCAGGGCAGAGTCGGCATGGGGCGGGCTAATTACCCAACTCACCGAACCTCGGTTGGGAAAGTTCGGCCCAAGAATTAATGAATTCGTAATGTTCGCAATCGGGGGGAAAACGATCGAGGGGAACGCCAGTGAATGGTGAGCAGAGGGGGAACAAATAATTAGTGTTTACAGATCTCTCTGAATCAGGGATGATTGTGAGATCAATACTGTAAAGGATTTTCAAAAACAGATGGAAGGGTTGTCTAAATTACGGGTTGAGCAAGTTATTCGGCAGGTTCGAAATGGATCGTTTGTCAAATATCCAGTTTGAAGGCCATTACAATATCGTAATGGTTTGTGGTGGCAATTATACCATAAAGTAGCCACAACTTGGTAGGCAGTTTTACGATCTAAGTGATCTGTGTTTCAAACGATCTGTTTGGGCAGGAAATAAAGGGTCGTATAATTGTAATTTGATTGATGTTTGGTAGGGTTAAGGAGGAATATAAGACTCCAAGCCACACACTTGATACTGATACCCCTAGAAGTTGACGATGGTGAATAAAGAGATCTGAAGTCGTGGGAAAAGGGATGCTGTCTCCTATGAAATGAAACTGGAACAGGATGCATGAAGTGAAGAGCTGATGGAGTTCGTTAGTAGCCTTGAATGGGAAGCTGCATGGCGGCAGGCAGAGGATCAGTAAGCAGGCTAAACAGGACACAATGGAACGCCCAAGGACGAACTGTAACTCGAAACACAAACAGGCAACACAAGGACGTCACACAGGCAACACACAACAATGCAAGAACACAGAAAAGGAGGAATTTGGCGGGGACTCACCTGAGTTGGCGGATGCAGTGGGGCAGGAGACAGGGAGCAGGATGCCTTCCGGCTGCTGTGGCTCGCAGGATGGAGCACTAGGAACTTCGACTGGAGGATTGCGGCGCTGGTGGTGGTCGTGGTCGTAGGTCATCACAGTGGTGGCCGCCGTCTCATAAGCGGAGCTGTTGCCGTTCGCCGACGAGGACGGATGATCAGCTGGAGTGGCTGAGGTGGCTGCGGTGGATGTGGCGGCTCCTGGCTTGCTCCTTCTGCGAGTGGGCGAGGGCGAACTGCTGGAGGAGTCGTCGCTGCGGTGCGACGGAGGCGGCGGAGAGTGTCCGGCGGAACTCTGGCGACTGGCGGAGCGCGTGGTGCGCGTTATGAATCTGCGGAGGCGGGGATTACAGTATTACTCGGCTGGGATTTGTTTACACGGAAACACACGGAAATAACAAGCGGTGGCCAAGGCGAAATCGAAGTATCAGAACACCAAAACAAAATCAGAGATATCAGAGATATATTTCATTCGAGTACAACTCTCTGGAGTTCCGCTAAATGCGGCACGGCTAGACGGCAGCAAACACGCTCGGCAACTGCCGCCTCATCGGCCAGCAGACCCAGTGGAAACCCACGGAGCGGCTTTTGTCGGTTATTTTGTTATTTGTTTTTGTTTGCCTGCCTTTTTGCTGTTTTTGCTTTTTTGGGTTTTGCCGCTTGGTATCTTGCAGACACACGGCGAACAGCAACAAACTCACTCGACGGGCCCCGAAAATAACTCAAAGCGGAAAAGAGAGCGCTGCAAATTCGCACATCGCACATTTGCGCCAGGTAGCAGCGGCATTTGTATTCGAGCTCGTCAAATACAAGATACAAAATACAAGATACGAGATATATGGACAACAAACCGAGGCTTTATCTCCCGGCCGTCAAAGAACAAAGCGTAACAAGTCTGTTATTGTTTCGGCGGACTGCTTTGGATCGCAGTGACTATTGCACGCATGCGCAGAAGGCAGTGCGCAGGTAGCTGCCATAGAGTATCTTGTGCAAAGTATCTCGAGCAGAGAAGAGTATCTCGAGTCTGCAGTGTAAGCGATACCCACAACCCACAGCCGAGCAGACACTTCCTCATCGCCGACAATGCATCTTTAGCCCATTTCTGTTTAGCGGCCGAGTGAAGAATTTTGCAGCTTGTCGCAGACATTCAATCAAGCGCAAGACTTCGTCTAGCTGTCCGCTCTGTCCGTTCTGTCCGTCAGTTTGTCCGTCAGTTTGTCTATCTGCGAGATATATCTCTTTCTTTCTCTGTTTCGCCAGGTAGACAGGCTGCACATTTGAATGTCGCGACGCATCAGTGTCACTTCTTTCGCTTTGTGTACTTTATGATGTCTCGTGCTCGGCAGTCATGCGGACACACAGATACTGCGTCTTTCGGTCCGTCCTTGCGGAGAGGCAGGCCGCGATCATATCGATCGTCAACACCGGGAAATCTCGCGGAGGAGTGAGCTCCTGGTCTCCAGAAAGTAGGTTAAGGGATTAACCCAAGCGAAAACAATGTGGATGGCATTAGGAAAATACTTTTAATTGGAAAACCCATTACAACCGAAAGGGAAACTGGATTTTTGTGTTCTTGATTTTAAAGTTAAATGGATTTGGCATCCTGAAGGCTAGACACTGACTCATTTAGTTATTAAAAGATTATTTTGGAAGGCTCAATAATAATTATGCTTAGTTGGCAGAGAACGTTGTAAGTAGATATTTCAATTGAAGTTATTTTGAGACTTTTTATGATGGACTATTAAGAATTTAATACTTCAATTTCAACACTAAACCTTTTGGGTTGACTTCTTAGAACCCCTTTTAAAGGGTATTTTCCATGCCTTCAATCTCTGCTGCGATCATCGTTATGATCATCATCTGCCTCGCTCTTAGTTTTCTATTCTTGATGCTTGACTTTGCCCGCCCGCCAAATGGAAATTTCCATAAATTGTATAAATTGCCAGCGACACATACGAGTTGTGTGTATGACGTATCTGCCACTGGATGTCCGAGCGAGAACTTTCCAACCCGTTGGAAAAACTCTGCGGAAAAGGAAAAGTGATGATAACCAGTTTGGCGGATGCTGTTTATTTTCGTGGCTTCTCGTTTTTTGGGAGCGCAGCTGCGACGAAAGCGAAACCAGGACTAGACCATTGTCGATCTGGGCCAGGCTAACTGGCCAACTATCTAGCCAAGTAACTGGCCATTAGGTGGATGGCCAGGCAGACGCAGCAGGTGATCGGATGACGGTGTTGACACCACGAAACGCCCGAAAAGCGGGGCCCCAGATAAATTCCCCACTTAATTGCCGTGCATTCAAATTTCCTCGTCGAGATTCTACATTGAATGCATTTTTAGAAAATCGCCTCTTCGACTCTTCTTTCCACTCTTCATTTCTTTTATGCAGCGCTCGGTTTTTACGAGGCATTTTTGTAGCGAAAGCCCATTGGAAAAACTTGTCGCCAGTTTCGGGTTTTGGGTTTGGTTCGGCTGTGAAACAGGTGCTTTCTACGCCGCCTTTCTTCTGGGGGAGGAGGCCTCCGCCGAGGTTGGGGGTCACTCGGAGACACTCGCCGTCGCCGTTGCCGTTGCCGTGATATATCGCATTATAATTGATGGAGCCGAAGATCGAAAACTGAAGACTGGCTGCCGCCGCGAATTGCACTCCACGCACTGATGCGATTGCCGAAGCCCCGGAGATCTCAGCAGAAGATGTCGCGCTGCGATTCGATCCCCAGGTCGAGCTCCACACACACCGTTCCCAATCCCAACCCCAAGACAATGGACCACGTAACAGCCGACGGAGGAGAAGCCGGCGAACAATACACGGATTTCGTTTGTTAACAAGCCCCCTCCCCCGTGGATCTCGATTTGTTTGGGGGCCCGGCTTAAAGGGAGCCGCCACAAGGCGCATTGTATAACCGTCGTCGAACAATATGGGTGAAGATAGCATATAGCATATAGCATACAGCATATGGCAAAAGGTGGCCACAATGCAGGCAATTTGTTTCGATTGTGCGCCAAGGATTAGGGCGGTGCAGCCTTAAACAGATTAGGCCGCAGAAACGGGGAGAGAGTTTAGCCCCGGAGCAGGTTGCTTTGATAGCTCCAATATTGCCCATCAAATGATACGTATATACACAACCGAAATCGCATTATGCTTGCTGGTTAATCAGCCACGACTTCCGAGAACAAAACGCTTTCACCCTCGACGGTAATCAGCTTGATGACCCCCGAGTAATTCGAATCACAGCGCACACAACACGCTGGTGGTCAGGAAAATAGCACTGAAACGGGATGTTTAACTGACCGAACTTGTAATTTATAAACAAAAATTAACATTTAACTAGGAACTGTCTACATATATGATTAATTAATTAGGTATCTTGTACTGGGGTATGAATCTGTTCTCATACCACAGTACAAGATACCTAATTAATTAACCATTTATTTAGCTTTCAGATTCCTATACTCTTGACTACCACCGTTCATCGAAGCGTAATTAACCGTCTGGAATAACAACATTCTCATGGGGAGGTGGGCACCCAGCACCCAACTCCCATTTCCCGACACCTGTCCGTAATCAGGAGAACCTATCCTTGGCCAACTTGGCTAACTTGGCTAACGACGAAGGGGGCGAAGGGAGCACTAATTGTGCGCGTAATTGCCCCCGCAAAGGAATGAGGAACATTTGGGGACTCGTCATGCGGTGGAGGTACGAGATTCGGGGGAGGGATCCATGCGGGGAGGGGATCGGGATCCGGAACCGGAACCGGAACCAGCTTACCTGCGCGCATTGGTGGCCTGGTGGTGGTGGTGAGACTTGGGTTCTACTGGCAATGATTGATGAGCGTGCTGGTCGAGTTGGAGTTCGAGATGATCGGGTTCTTGGTGGTCTGCTTCGGGGTCTGAGTGGTGCTGCTGCTGCTGGTGGTGCTGGTGGTGGTGCTGCTGCTGGTGGTGCTGCTCCTGTAGCCGTTGGTGCTGGTGGTGGTTGTGGCCATTCACCAGCTGGGGGCCCGAGCCGATCTCCTGGCTCCACCGCTCCAGGGTGTCGAAGACATCGCCCTGGCTGAACTGGGTGGTGCTGTCGCACTCCTCGATGCCCAGGCCGTCGTTGTACAGGGACTTCCGGAGGACGGAGAGTGGCACATTGGGCGGCTCCACAAAGAGGCGCTCCGTGTTCACCGGCTCGCCGGCGTGGTAGTTCTGCACCTCCTGGGAGGCGGACGCGGGCAGATTGCGGGAGGAGGGCTCCAGGCTCCTGGCCACTCGCAGATTTAAGCGATTCGAGGAGGAGGAGGCTGCTGGCAGGGACAACCCGACATCCGAGTTCGCCTCCTCGGGTGGCAGGGAGGCGGCCTTGGCACTCAGATCGGTGACCTTGCGACTCGGGTGCAGCGCTAGCGGGGATTCCTCGTCATCGCTGCTCGCCGGCAACTCCCTCGCCGCTCCCGTCACCAGAAGTTGCTGCTTCTGCTGTTGCTGCTGCTGCTGTTTCTGCTGCTGCTGCTGCTTGGGATTGCTGCCAGTGCCGCCCGGAGTGCCGCTGCTCATCGGGGGATTGAGGTAGTGATGGTGCAGGGGCCAAAAGGTCGCCAGCTTGTCGGTTGAGTTCCTACTACTCGGCTGATCCTTATCCCTCCCTGGCTGCTGCTCCTTCTCCTGCTCGTTGCTGCTGCTGTTGCTGCTGCTGCTGCTGCTGCTGTGGACGAGGTTCTTCTCCTTGCATATTATGTCGTAGAGCGCGCTGATCGGACGCGACTCGCTGCGCACGCGCACCGCTCGCCGGGAGCGGCTCTGGAAGCGCTGCTTGTGCCGGCTGCTCCGGCCGGAGGCGCCTTCCTTGGGAGCGCCTTCCTTGTGGGGAGGAGGACTGGGACTAGCCTGCTCTACGGGGTTACGACTACTGATGGTGGTGCTTGTGGTGGCGCTGGTGGTGTTTGCGGTGGTGGGGATGGGGGAGTGGAGGGGCGGTTCACCTTTGGTAGGGCTCGCAGATGCCCGCGAGTATCTGAAGAAGCGTCCCTCGCTGCCGGTTCTCGGCTGGCTCCGCCGGAGCGGCTGTCTCGAGTGGCTGTCGCTGGACGCAGAGTCGCCACGAAAAAACGAGTCCTTACTGGAGGCCGCGGAGCTCTTGGGGAAGGAGCGCTGCTCCACGAGCTGGGTGCTCGGCGTGGCGTAGACGCTCTGGTAGTTCTCGTTCAACGCGCCCACATCGGAGGCGTTCGGGGTGTGGATCCGCAGCTGGAGGTCCGTGTAGTAGGCGGGGGTGGTGTGGTGGTGGAAGTGCGGGTGCTGGCCGCGGTACGACTGCGCCTTGCTGCTCCTCTGCGAACTGGAGTCCTCCGAGTTGGTGGCGGATGGCTTCTCTAGCTTCTTCTGCGGCTCTGGTGGCTGGCAGCTAGTTTTGGCAGTGGCAGGTGCTGTGGACAAGTCACTTGAGGCCGCAATGGTTTCTGAAAGCAGAAGGAAGAGGGAAGAGAACTTAAGTGAGAGTGGGCCAAATGAAAAGTAATGTTAACTCGTTTTCCCTAATGGCGTTTCCGCTTAATGCAGCCAGATGTCCCCCAACTGGGGATTACTACACTTGGCAATAAGGAAGAGTATTTATAGTACTTAGGTACAAAAATATAAAATAAAAACACTTTGAGCAACAACCAACTTAGATACTGCGCTCATTAATTGCAAACATTAATTCGTAATATTTTTGTGTGCGAACATTTCCCTCTAAATTCTTTTTCCCAAGTGCAGGACTTCGCTCTCGTGTGTTTGCTTTCCTAATTCACTTTTCCCGCACCGCACTTGGCGCGTAAAAAGCAAATCTTGGCAGCAATTAAGTTGCACCTGAGCACTCGGATTAATATATTGCATGCTCTACAGCCACCCAGCCACCCAGCCACCCAACCACCCCCCAGCTGCCCCCTCATCTTGGCCCCGCCCACCAACACCTACAACCATGTCAAGGTGAGGTGAGGGTTGCCCGCTTTTTATAGACGACGACGTCGAGTGCAGTTTTGTGGGCCTCGTACTTTTGGCAGTGACTGTAATGCAGGCGTAAGGGTAATGCAAATCGCATTTGACAACTGGCAAGGCATAAGCGATTAGTTATGCTCTCTGTGCGGAAAAACTGGGGAGCACACGGGGCTAATTAATCTTGTATAGGTATCTTGCATTGGGAAAAGAACCGAAATTCGCTACAGAAAGTAATGCAATATAAACCATTTATTTGACAGCTGCTGCGCACATTTCAAATGCCAAGTGCCCAAATGGAATTTCACGAATGTGCACAGATAAAATACAATTAAAGTCTTTTTGGCCAGTTGGCGAGCAAATGTAAGAGCTCAGCGAATATTTTGTGTCTAATTTATTATGACAGGCAGTCAAAACCGAAAACGGAGGGAAATTATCCAAACACAATTAGCAGGCAAACAAGAGGGCGAGGGGAGCGATCTTCGGGATGGCGATGTTTGTCCAGCAATTACGAATGCCCAGTGAAATTCAAATATTGAAACGGTTAGCACATCTCGAGAGCGCAAATAGGAAAAAGCCGCAGCCGCATATCTTATCAGATAGTGAGAGCAAACAACCACAAAGCAAAAGTCAATTTGTAGATCGGCAAGAAAGCTGCAAACAATAACAAAGCGTTTCGTTGAGGTAGGAAAACCTGCACCGATCAAATGAAACATTCCTATTCGATACTATCATATACACCAAAATAAGTAGCCAATCTTAATGATTAATAACCCTATTTTAAGTTAAATGGCTCACACTTGTTTGCAATACAATTAGAGGGAAGAAAATTAGAAGGGTGTGGGCGAACATATGTCATACTTAACAAGAAAGGAAGCTAGCTTCGGTCATCAAATATCGAGCTTCATTAGGAAAAGTTATAGGCTTCCAAGTGCTAGTTTTAGGCCATTTTTTGGATTTTTCACAAGGGGTCACATCATAAAAATGTGACAAAAATCAACCCAAAAATCGAAACCAAACTCAGGATGCAGTTTTTGGGAGATCTCCTTCACTGCGTTGCATACTTTAGACTGAAAATATAATACCTTCTGCAAGGGTATACAAATTTGTTGCTTAGTAATTTCGATCGGCGGTTGAAGGGCTTGGTTAACCCCTGATGCTTATCTTTGGGACCACGTCCCACGCTCAATTGAAAACAGCAGCCACAATATGTTGCCAAGCGCCATTCCCCTCAACCTCTTCTGTCTTTTTTGCGTTCTCTTAATTAATTGAAATGTTTTTTCTGTTGGTTTACTTCGTAAAAATACATTGCTGTCTGAATTCCTTCTACAAAATCGCATGAGATTTTCAGCCGTCTTTTTTATCACCTGAGATAGTTTTGTGGGCCAAGTCAAGTGCAAAGAATACATTATAATTGGCAATTGTCCGGCAAACCGTATAAAGACAGCAAATCTGGCGGGGGTGCGCACGTGTTTTTCTATTTTCAAAGAATCGCAAATGTCATGAAGCATCAGCAGTACATATAGTTCACTGAATAGGAGGCATTTGCAGCAACCTAAAGAAAAGTTGCCCAGAATTCGGCACAAGTAAATATTGACCTAATGGAAACATAAGATACTTTTCCTTGGCTGCAATACAAAGAAATATTGAACTCAAAGGTAAACACATTTTATGCTTATCGCTACCCAGTTTCCTCTCCGGAAAAAACAGCAACAGCAATAATTGAAAGCAAATATTCGCTTAGCTTTTGTTTTGCCAACAGATACGACGAGATATGTTTAAAAATAACAAGACGAAAATTGCATTAAGGATGACAATGGCCGAGAGTTGAATGAACAGAACCGAACAGAACTCGATGAGGCAGCTCCGATTATGGAAAATGTATCGAGAACGTGCGCCAAAATCATTTTGGCCCACCAAATATTATATTTCCGAATGCATTTACGCAATGGCTAAATCTGGTCATAAACATAAACAAATTGAAAATAAAGTCTTGAGAGGCAAGTTGCCAGCGTGGGATTCTCCAACGTATATGAATGGGTTGCATGCCAAAATCAAAATCCACGCCAAGTCCAAACCAGAAAAATAAATAAACCAAGCCGTTGGCACGCTGCCTTATGGGTTATGCGATAAAAGCGATTTGCAAGCAGCTCTGGCGAATAATTGCAGCGGCCAGGAAAATGTAGCTAATTATCGGGACTAAACAACAGCTGGGAGTTCGTGTAACTAAAAAACTAAAAAACGCTTCCAGGGATAATAACAATTGCACAAGAGCAGCAGAGGCAGCAGAAGCAATAACAAAACTGCTGTCAACATTTTTGCGGCTTCGCTGCGTTGAATTACCAAACGCAAACGCTTCTGTGTGTGGCAGCCAACTGATTGATCGATTGGCTCTGTCTTCTTGTGTCTTGTGCCGCAGACCCAGGTTGCATAATTAATGAGGGGAGAGGGCAGCGACAGGGACAGGGGCACGGCTCAAACTTGCTGCAGAAATATCATATTGTCAAGGCAATCCCATTCGGAGACAGACCGCAAAACAAAAAAGGTTCACTAAAAGAAAATCGGTGTGGAAGTATTTTCTGAAAATATAATTTACTCTAAAGAAGCAACTCCTAGTTTAGCAATTTATTTGTGTATTTAGTAAAGTTTAATCTGGAAATGTATTTAGCAGTCTGCTAACCCTATTTAAACGCTTTAAGTAATTGGCTTTTATTTTTTCGAATGCACTCAGAAGAGCCAGCCAATGCCTATTAATACGTGTGTGGCTGCAACAGAAAAAAGGCAGAAGTTGAATCAATATTGAGGAAAAAACTGCATTTTACAGAAGTGGCTGCCCCGTCGTTGTTTACAGTTTGCAGTTTGCAGTCTGCTGTTTGCCACAGCGCTGCTCTCGCAGGCAGCAAAATGTTGCAACGTCGTTTGGGATTATTTTTAAATGCAAGGGCAAACTGCCCACGACGAAGCGGAGTCCCCTTCCCCCTCTTGCCGCACCATCTGCCTTACTTTTTTTTTGTGCAATAAACACACATTTAATTATCAACAGCCAGAAAACCTCTTATCGACATCGGCCATAAAGTGGCCCGACTTTTGATGGGCTTCTGGTCCGGGGAGAATCTTGAGTCTTGGGAAACTTTTGACGAGCGAGTGCAGCATCAAATTGTGTAATTTCATGTTTGGCAATCAAAAGCAGTTAAAAGAACGCCTGGGAAGCCGTTGATGGATGTGGATGTGGATGCGTGGGTGGCAGCACGCAGGAAATTGGGTTAAGTGAAGTTCCTGAGTGGGAAGTGGATATCAAGCCATGGGATCCCTTACAGCAAGTCTTCAATCGCGCATTTGAAAGGTTGAAAAGGGTTGAGTCAACACGTTTCCTATGCTTGGTAATCGAAACCTCAAGTTAAAATAATATTTACTCAAATGAAAGTAGTAAAAATTCTGATAAGCATTGTCCATGGGGATTCCGCAGCTCTCATGTACAATTAGAGTGAATCACTTTGTAAGGGAGGCGCTCGATAAACAAATATATATTCTATATAAAATCTATTATTGGTATATTTCAATGTATCAGCAAAGTTAATAGCCTTCAATCCCCCTACGAAATCGGATCAAATCAAATGGGGTAATAAATCATTTATCGCAGGTCATCCCAAAAACAAATTAATTCCCCGCAAGTAAATTACTTTATTGATAGTCGGTCAGCATTAATCCGCTTGGACAAAGTATCTTTCTCGTTGGTTCTCTTCGAATGATTGGATAACAGGTCGTACACAAATGACCTCTGATTGGAACAGCTTTGTAGGCAGGTCGGGGAATCGGATTGGATTCCGCTCTTTGGCACTTAAGCCCTTTACAATCAAATAAAATGGCCATACATCAAGACTTAGGGAGAGAGAAATATGTAAAAACAATCGAAACGAAATAAAAGCGGGCTGGTCTATAAACACCAGCAATCGTTGGTAAGACAAAGGAACTCCGCACAGCCATAGACAAATGACACAATCTTTTGGGTCCGGGATTGGTTAACTTGGCTAACTTGTCTCGCTTTAACACAAACTTCCAAATAAATAAGTTTTTTCAGACAATAAAGGGTCGAAACACAATAGTCCACCAGCCAACAAATTTGTTGGTAAACAATGGCAGTACAAATTATTAACAGTTATTAAACAATAATCCATTGGAAAAAAGGTGTATTTATGTAGGAAATACCCGCGATAGCTGGACAAGTGTTCGGCTGGTCGACGCCAGCGTTCAAAAATAACAAATTGGAATGAAAACTGATTCTTACCGGACAAAGTCTACATAGCTGACTGAGCACTGTGATAAAATATCAGGCAGTAAATAAAATATTTATACATTTCCAAAGGGGTAACACACAAATTAAAGTCCGTTTTCAAAGTCTGAACTTTCATATATGATTCAGCTGGTATAATAAATAGTTCCCTGCACTGCATACTATACAAGTGCGATCTTTCGGATTACACAGTGA